TGTAGGACCTGCAAAAATGACTGAATCTAAGGTTGAATCATGTTCAGAGCCACTTAGCATTTCTTTATCAAACGTTCGTTCATATAGCTTTACAGGGGCTGCCCTCTGTTGGTGATTCTGAATCTCGCATCCCATCAACACAGAGGCCCAAATAGAGTCGACCTACTTTCATTGCATTCATTGTATACACGTTTGGGTACACTGCATATCCCTCACACTAACTCCAATAACAGATCAACAAGATGATTGCTCTCAATCAGGGTTCTGCATAAGAGGCTAGCGTTATGAAAATCCCTCTGATATGTAACTCGTTTTGAAGAATCATTTAATTGAAAAAACAATGTATCTGTGGACGTTGGAACGGAAAATGTGCTTGACAAAAGCAACACAACAAAATGAAGCAATGACGTTGCCAAAAATTGTTACCAATGCAACGCACATGCGACTATGTTCTTATTTCCATCCATCCATCCATCCATTGTCAAACCGCTTATCCTGCACACAGGGTCGCGGGGGGCCTGGAGTCCATCCCAGCCAACTTCGGGCGATAGACAGGGTACACCCTGGATTGGTCGCCAGCCAATTGCAGGGCTACACAGAGACACACAACCATTCACACTCACATTCACACATCTACGGGCAATTTAAAGTCCCCAATTAACCTGATCCCCAGAGCATGTCTTTGGACTGTGGGAGGAAGCCGGAGAACCCGGTGAGAGAACCCACGCAGACACGGGGAGAACATGCAGACTCCACACAGAAAGGCCACTGGGCGGAATCGAACCCAGGACCTTCTTGCTGTGAGGCGACAGTGCTAACCACCACGCCACCGTGCCGCCCTCATGTTCTTATTTGTCACTTAAATTTTCCAATTTAACTGTGCATCACACAACAAGTCTACGATAGTGAACAACTGCCACTAAATTTTACTTTCTACACAGATCCTGCATTCATTATGGAATCATGTAATTATCTTGTGTTTTTCGTTATAGCTGTGATATCTGTAGCATTGTATAGAGTCCAGACGTTGGGCGTGGAAGTCATATTTTAAATGGCATTCTATGCTGTAGTCGATAAATAAACCATGTAATGAATCTTAGAGCACTGATGACTCAAACACGCTCTGATATGGAAATGACTTGCACTCGGTTTCCCTGCACCAGCGTATTCCTCCGCGCAACATACTTTTCTAATGGAAGTATTTGCCGTCACGAATCGTAGAATGCACGATTAGCATACAATACGTCAAGCCCGCATCCAATGAATTATTTTTTTTGCTAGTAGAAAATTGTTACAATTCCACATGCATGTTTTAACGAAATGACGAGATGAGGAACTAGTTTATCTCCAAAACTAGTTCCACCCATTCCGCCATTTTATGCTCCATAGCAGCTTTGTTGTGAGGAGAAATCACCTTGAACCACAAGGCAACAGCACGCTTAAGTTTAGTAAAAAGCTTAGTTGTGAGGGAATTTAACGAGGTTTCGTGATTATTTAGTATCCGGCTCAACGTTATACAGAGCTTCGTTTCGTGCTGTGCGAGGAAATCAAATGCACGGGTAACGTTACTTAGCTTCGCCTGGCAACGTGTTAGCTAGTCGCCACCGACAAAGACGACTGCTCGCCGCACATTGTTTCTCTAAAACGTTGATCCACCGGAGGACACATTGACGACCACCGTGCGAGACACGACGACAGAAGAGATGGCTACCTCCGTGGGGAACGTGGCTGACAGCACAGGTTGGTTGATATTGTGTTAGCTAGCGTTCAATATTGGGGGGGGGGGGGGGGGGAAGGGACTAACGTTACATGTTATGCTTTCTCCATTGCAATCTTTCACATCTGAACACTATTGCACTGGCAACGTAACTGGGCCTCTACCGTCGAAAGAGTGCTTTAGTCTCACAGGCTACTGCTAACGGTACGTTGTCGTAAGCTAGCGATGCTAATTCGTCGCAGGTCGTACATTTTACCTTTTTAAAATACGTCTTGGAGCGTGTCTTTCCCGACATAAATTACGCACAAGTGTGCAAACATCAAGGGGTTTGTCCTTTTTTATATGGAGTCTATGGTTTCACCTACAGCAGCTAGCGCTGGTGCTAAGCTAGCTATCGTGCAGCTTTCGCTCGAACGGCATTACGGCTTTTTTGTTTGACCGCTGAATGAACTCAAACAGGCCCTCTCCTCTCGAAAACGTCGCCGGTTCTGGTAACCGGAGAAATGTGCCCGTCTTGAAGGCAACGTGGGCCTCGCAGCGTGACGCTGTTAAAATGACCGCGTAGGCGTTACGCCTCGTAGATTCCCATGGTCATTAATGGGGTTCTCCGTTTAAACCGCCTCTGAATGCATTCTCGCGGTCACTGGTCGTACATCTGAATATAACCCGTAGTGCATTTTGCGTAATGTGGATTATGCATTTTCACTGGGGGCTTTACGTAATCGAAACGATCCATTGTACAGGCAAGCATTATCACGTATAATGGCGATGGAACCTGCTCCACTGCTATCTGAAAATGAGTTAGATGTGCGCGTGCGTCGACAGATTACATCTACTCCACCCAGGGCTACACCACCCATACATGCTGTGTATGTGGTATTTTGTTTACGCCACACCCTGAATAATTTGCCTTCAAGTGACTCTAGCTTCATATGACATGGACGTTTCCTTTCTTTTAGCAGAGCCGTATACAAAAATTGAATAGCATGTGGAAAGCACAAATATGAATCTTAAACATATGCAAGATGAGCGGGTAAACACAATTTACATCCCTACATATGTGCTACATTATACGATATAGAAACGGTATTTATCTCATGCATTGATTCAGGTTTACTTCAAATAGTATCTTTATTAATCTTTCTATATATATATTTATATATAATATATATATATAATATATATATATATATATATATAACAAAAAAATTTGGAACAGAGCACCCTGTAACATAGAAAAGATCTAGCCGAGCATTACCCTTTAGTGAACTCTACAGCCTAAAAACAGAAATTGCAATAGTTTTACTTGATTGCAACATTTTACCTCAGTGCTCACAATTTTTATTTTTCCCCAATTGATTTGGTCCTTGTAGAGTTCAAATTGAGAGCCCTTATTTGTCATTGACATCATTAGCGTCACCTCTTTATTTTATTTTGCCTTCATTTGTCTGCTTTAATTTCTTCATCACATCTAACGTGTTGTTTCCCCCCCCCCCCCCTCCTTGGGATGTGTTGGTGCTCCAGAACCGACAAAACATATTCTTTCCTTCCAAGGGTTGGCTGAGCTGGCGCACCGGGAGTATCAGTCAGGGGACTTTGAGGCGGCTGAACGCCACTGCATGCAGCTATGGAGACAGGAGCCTGATAACACAGGCGTGCTGCTGCTCTTGTCCTCCATCCACTTTCAGTGCCGAAGACTCGACAGGTGAGGTGTGGGGAGCCGACTCGACGCACACTGAGCATGTGCCAGAAAACAAGAGTCGCCTCTGACTTTCAAGTGCTCGTAGTTGTCTGGGGAGCCAATTACAGCAACTGAGCGGTCCTCTGGAAACCCTGTTGCTGGACTTTGGTCTCATTCGGTTCCCTCGAGATTCTAACACTGGTTTGTGGTGATGGTCATGCCCTTGCTTTACAGGTGCCACGGTTTCGGGTCTTGTGGGTTTGAAGTCTTAAAATTCCACTTTTACTCTTTATTCCCTCAGTGTTCCCAATGCCAGCAGTATACTCTGAATTCATTTAAATTTAATCGGAATGAAAATGTGCCAACAAAATCTGAAATAATTATTACCAGATAATTACCATTTTGTTTGTCTTTTTTATTTGTTTATAAAAGGAAAATATGACCGTGGCTGGGAAAGCATGCGCACTCTGAACATCAAAGGGAAATCCGGTGCATAGTCTTTGTCGTACATGCACCGATTACTTGGGCAAACGTGGTTTCATTTCGAGTATACTGCAAGCAGTACAAAACTTTGTCCGGTTGCCTCTACACGAGCAAATGCGGCCAGCACCCCTCTTCAGGATTGTGACCACTGTACCCATTCTGGCCCTACAGGTCTGCACACTTCAGCACCTTGGCCATCAAACAGAACCCAATGTTGGCAGAGGCCTACTCCAACCTGGGGAATGTGTACAAGGAGCGTGGACAACTGCAGGAGGCCATAGAGCATTATCGGCATGCCCTGAGACTGAAACCCGATTTTATTGATGGATACATCAACTTGGCGGCTGCTCTGGTGGCTGCGGGGGACATGGAGGGAGCCGTGCAGGCTTATGTGTCTGCCTTACAGTACAACCCTGTAAGTGCTGTGCCATTTTGTGAGATGCCTAAAGAGTAACTTGACACGTGTTGTTTCTGATAGATCTGCCGTTAGCGCCTAATAGTCTTTCCATCGACTGTGTTACCGATTACTCATTTTCTTCAAAATAAATCATTCTAACGTCACATTTACAATTTAACCAATTATTTGCCGACCCGGAGCGGTTTTCAGGGGTGTTGAGTTACTCTTTTCAATTCACAGCAAGCTAATCATTCTAACAACATTGATCTCCAGTTTATTGTAGCAGTAAAAATTGTTTTTATGTGTATTTTTCCCCTCTAGGATCTTTATTGTGTGCGTAGTGACTTGGGCAACTTGCTCAAAGCTCTTGGACGTTTGGAAGAGGCCAAGGTATGTTACAGCGCATTGGCCTTTGTGTATATATGGGTTTGTGCTTCAGATTTTATTTTTTGGACATATATTTTGGTTTTTAGTACCCCTCCTCCCGCCACAAAAAAGGCCCTAGATATTGTTGTCTCCGCTTTGACATTTTTAGGGCAAATCAAGCCCTTTCCCTTAAACCCCATGGCCCAGTGAAGGACAGGAGCCTTTTCTCATTTCTGAGTTGCATTAGGCCGCTCACCCATTTGAGGCAACCAATGCTTTAAAAAAAATCTATATATATATATTTTTTATAATCCAAGGACAAATTCCATTGATTACTTTTTAAGTGGCTAGGTCCATTTTTAGTATAGTATTTGTCACTGACCTTTTTATCTTTTTAGTCCCAACGTCCTCTGTGTTAGTCCAACCTTTTACCAACGGTCAGCCCCTCTCCTTTCAGGAAGAAAGGCTGGCGTTTTTAAATCCAAACATTTGATCCATATTGTCAAATTTGAACCTTGGCCGGTGCATTTTCATATAGATTTTGGAGGGAAAATGCTGGCTCGGTCTTTGAAGAATATATGAACTGTTGAGAAGCTAGTTTATCTTTGCAGTGCAAAAGGTAAGATGGTTTCTAACCTAACCACTACACTCCAACACGGTTTATCAAGTGCCCAGTGACACGCTTTTGGTCAAGGTTCGCTGTCAGTACAGTTGCTGCCAGCGTGGGTCACACGTCCCTCTGTCACTTTCAAGACTTCGGTCTATGTAACGGGGCTCCCTGGGTTTAGTCGAATCTAGAGATGTGGAGTTGTCTCAGTGGTTACAGGCCATCTTATTTCGTGCTAGAGGGGGGTTAAGGAGTGGGGAGGAGCATCAGGGAGCCACCATCTCCCCTGCTCTGTCGCTCCACCCCCCGCGCGCTTGCAAAGGATTGGTGGAGTGTGCGCGCAGAGAGCTGCCTTCCTGACCGTTCAGCTTTGCCCCATCAGTGCTCAGGCAGACCTGCATTAGTTGTAAATTTGAGTATGATTTAAAGGAGTTGTACACAGCTGGCTATCTAGCTGATATCCACCGCTGTTGAATAGTGCTAAATTGTGTGGGGGTTATGAATGAGTTCTCACTCAAGTGCCTTAACGGGGTTCAAAGTGTTGTCGGGCAGACGGCTCACAATCTGTACTCCACCACCTGCGTCAGATGCTGGGTTAGAAAGACAGGCCCGCGCAGCAACAGCGATGACTTCTTTATTTCAGAGCTTTGGAGGCTTCTAGATGCCAATAATTCTACCACAGACTTTTCTCCCCACCCATTGGCCAGGACTCAAGAAAGCAAGCCAGGATAAAGAAAACAAAGATTTTGAAAATATTTCATGAGTATGCCAAAAGCATGAAAGACAATGATTAATACTTCTTCCCTTTTCCTTCAAATATGCAATACTATTCCCAAAGAAATGGGATCAGTTCATTTGGCCAAGATCAAGCCAGTAACTGCCCTCCTGTAGTTTGAAATGAAACTTGAATTGATGAGCAGCCTGAAATCTGACTTCAACCTATATTTCACTGGTGAAACATATGAAAGCCTTTCTTCCCTCCCACTCACCCAAAAGCATCTTTTGTTTTCTTTGAAATGAAATGGTCATTGCATGGATGAAAACAAAAAGTAGTCTTTTTTTATGTTTGTGTTTGGGAAGACCCTGTTTTATTTCCATATTTAAAAGACAATGTATTGTTTGAATACTTTTACTAACGATCTTGTTTTCTGATTTTGTCTCTTTTGGTTTTTCCACAACTGATATTGTTATTTAGAAGGTTTCAGGTGGGTGACACTATTCCTGCGTAGGTGCCTGGCGGAAAGGAACACTAGGGCAGCCTCAGTCCTCTCCTCTTCTTCCAGCCAGCTGCGGCCACAACTCTGACAAAGTCCAAAAATATGGTAACGGGTTTGTAACTGACAACAAAAGAAAAACCACCTCACTTCATGCTCCTCTGTCTTGTGGCTTCCTTTTGAAGAGCAAAATAAAAGAGAGAAAAAAAGTACCAAAGCAAATTACAGTAAGGATTTCTTACAATATGCTACACTAATAACCCAATTCTGTATTAAGTAAAAAGAAACTAGGATTTGGAAGCAATAATCGTGAAAAACAAGTAAGAACCCTCTAACTCTTACGTGTTGTTTATTTTTCCTATTTTGTTCTGTTTTTCCTTCTTTGATTTGGAGTTGCAGCATTCTGATGATGCAGGTAGTGCGCTGTGAGTCTGCAGTAGCGCAGGGGCCGCGCAGCGATGTCCTCCAAGCAACCAGAATGGCGGAAAGCGCAAGCAATGCGAACCACACACCCTCACTCCCTTTGGCCAGTTGGTTGCGGACCTCTCCCCAATCACAACCAGCCTCGCTCCCAAATGCCCCTCCATCTCAGACCGAATTGGATTTTCAAAAGCACTTATTTTCACTGAAACCATGTCACCAATTCAATCAAGATGGTTTATTGGCTGTTTATTTCCAAATGCCTCCCATGTCAACGTCCCAGTCCATTCACTGGTTGACCCACGTCCCGCAATCCCTCTAAATCTGAGATATTATGGGTGCTGAGTGTGTGCTAGTCTGGTGTTTCAGGTGTCCTGCCAGGGGTTGTTGGGTCTGCACCTGGCCATTCAGCGAGCGCGGCAGCGATAAATGACCTTTTTGCCAGGCGCAAGGTCAAGCAAACGGCGTGCAATGGGCCATTGTGGTGGTGGTGGCGGCGGCAATAGACACACCATGCGCTCTCGCGTTTGTTGCGCATGCATTACAGGGACCATCACTTGCACGAAATGTTCAGCCTCCCAGGTTTTGAGATATCCTACCCACATTCAATTTGTAATTGCTTTAATATAAATGTAGTATCTTGTACTTTGGGGGTTTAACTAAACAGTGTTGAATGTTCTTAGTGACAGCACGCTGTATGTTCATGTGGGGACCACTGCATTCGTTGGGAATGTAGTGTAACTAAAGGAAGGTGGGCATACGTGTGGGTTTTGGTCGGATCAGCGCAGCGTAGGGAAAAGCAATGCAGCTTAGCGCGGCAGAATAGAGCGCAAGCGAGCCCGTGCTGCAGACTCACTTTTTGCTGTGACGGAGAATTGTCACTAATTTTGCTCTCTCTGCCCTTTGTTTTTTCTTTCTTTTTATTCTCAATCTTTTTATTTTTTATTTTACCATCCCTTGTCCTCCCTCTACACACTATACCGCTCCCATTCTACTTCTTCTCCTTTCCTATGGTTTTGTCATTGTAAACCTTTCAAAGGCTTGCTACCTGAAAGCCATAGAGACTCAGCCTAACTTTGCAGTGGCTTGGAGCAACCTTGGCTGTGTGTTCAATGCTCAAGGAGAGATATGGCTGGCCATACACCATTTTGAAAAGGTCAGTTGCACTCTTCAGGTTAAAGATAGTTGAGCAATCATTTAATGGAATTTAATGGTATTTTTTTTTATAGGCTACTGTCAGGTTTGCTGAGGATGTCAGATAGTAGCACATGACATTAAACTTTGAATAATGTACATTAAATTAACTTTAAAAAACTAGTCACTGCTGGATGGTAATTGTTTTTTTTTTTGCTTTTTATTGTATTCTGACATCAATTAGTTTTTTCTATAAATTGATACTTTTTTTTTTTTTTACCTCGCCCCTATCACAGAGGAATGTACTGAATGTTATACAGTTAGATTATCACTGAAAGTGCTACTTTCCAGTCTATATTCTTGTCATGTTTTTAAGCTTCGGGTCTCTTTTTTTCTTCTTTTTTTTTAAGGCAGTGACGCTGGACCCAAATTTCCTTGACGCATACATAAATTTAGGAAATGTTCTGAAAGAAGCCCGCATATTTGACAGGTGAGTTCAAAGCATGCAAGTTGTAGACCGTATAATACTTTCCCCTTTTCTAGATTCATGTATAATCATTTGTCTTTTTAAAAGCACCGGTCTATCACAGCTTGTGGAATTTCATGTGTGGAAGTACATCCCACTTGGTCTGTCGATACAATGTTTGTTTGTTTTTTTGAATACCATGTGGCCACGGCAGGGCCAATTTTACCTATCGCACTGCCATCAGCGTTTTCAGAACTGAATTTGTATGCCTGAATAGTGGCAATGAAAGGAAGTTGTGTAAAATGCTGCAGTTGGATATTTAATAAGCTGCAAAACTACAATTCTGCTCCATATCTTCTGTTTCCAGAGCTGTGGCTGGATACCTGAGGGCCCTGAGTCTTAGCCCCAACCATGCGGTTGTACATGGGAACTTGGCCTGTGTCTACTATGAGCAAGGCCTCATTGATCTGGCTATTGACACCTACCGCCGTGCTATTGAATTGCAGCCCCACTTCCCAGATGCTTACTGCAATTTGGCAAATGCCCTGAAGGAGAAAGGCAACGTAAGGCAGCACTTTGTGTTCCCCTGACAACATGTTCCTAATTTCCAACATTTAAAATGGTTGTAAGGGCATATATTTTCAGATTCTGCTACGATTACATATTTTCCGTGCACGTGTCGGGGCAGACCCGCCACCCGAGTGATGTTGTGAACCATGGGGAAACACTGAATCGACAAAGCATTTAGTGAATTAACTGATATGCCAATGTCTTTCCCAGGTGTCTGAAGCCGAAGAGTGCTACAATACAGCCTTGCGTTTGTGTCCAACCCACGCCGACTCTCTTAACAACTTGGCCAACATCAAGCGTGAGCAGGGCAACATTGAAGATGCAGTCCAGCTTTACAGGAAAGCACTAGAGGTGAGTTAAGAGTCGTCTTATTCTCTGCTGTGACTGGGTCTTGTTTCACAAGACCCTTGTTTGATGTAAAAGTGAGCATGGCATTTGTGTAATCTCCTTGGTAACCCCTTTTTTTTTTTTTTTTTTTATAAATAAATGTTTCAGGTGTTCCCAGAGTTTGCAGCAGCTCACTCCAACCTCGCCAGTGTTCTGCAGCAGCAGGGCAAACTCCAGGAGGCCCTAATGCACTACAAGGAGGCCATCAGGTCTGTAGATACATGCTAGATGTACTTCGTTTGGATTAATGTGATGTTATTTTACAATAGTAGAAGAAAAACTTCAACCAGATTTTCTTTTTCTTTTTTTTTAAATTTTAGAATCAGCCCTACATTTGCTGATGCCTATTCCAACATGGGCAACACACTGAAGGAAATGCAAGATGTACAGGGAGCGCTGCAGTGCTACACCCGTGCTATCCAGATCAACCCTGCCTTTGCTGATGCTCACAGTAATTTGGCGTCTATCCACAAGGTAGGAAGGATTCTTGATTTAAACATTTTTTTTGTATTCTTTGTTTGCTGTGACAGTGTCTCATGCAGATCATTCATACATGCATCCCCACATGTTTCTATCATGAAATGTACTTGGATTTTGTATTCTAATGTTTCTCTTGGCTCTTAGGATTCTGGAAACATCCCAGAGGCCATTGCGTCCTACCGCACAGCCTTAAAACTCAAGCCGGATTTCCCCGATGCTTACTGCAACTTGGCACATTGTCTGCAGGTATGTAATATATATAAGTAATTATATTTAGCTGGCGCCAATGAATTAATTCATTAGTTAAATCTCATTTTCTTAAGACTAACTTCTGTCACTCTCCCAGATTGTGTGCGACTGGACCGATTACGAAGAGCGGATGAAGAAGCTTGTGAGCATCGTGGCCGACCAGCTGGATAAGAACCGCTTGCCCTCTGTGCACCCCCACCACAGCATGCTGTATCCGCTCTCTCACGGCTTCCGCAAAGCCATCGCTGAACGCCACGGAAACCTTTGCCTGGACAAGGTACACGCACTGATCAAAGCAAGTAAACTTTATTTCATTTTTGGGGGGAGGGAGGGGATGGAAGGTGGCTGGTGATGGCGCTGGCTACCTGCAGGGATATGGGGACGGTAAGGGATGGGAAAGATACTGGATGTAATTTTAAGCTACTTTGTAGAGAAGGAGGGGACAATCTGTGGTGAACGGGTTGCTCGCAGGGATGGCGGTTTGGTGCAAAGTTGGACATTAATTCAGATTAATCGATCGGTTCTTATTCATGGTTTAGTATCAGTCCAATATTGCTGCAGTATGTGTCACTCAGTGCAGCCAGAATTAGCAATCCTGCTGTTTTCTTACACCATTGCTAATTCCACAGATCAATGCACTGCACAAACCTGCTTTTGAGCATCCAAAGGACCTGAAGGCCAGCGGGGGTCGACTGCGTATTGGCTACGTCAGCTCGGACTTCGGCAACCACCCCACTTCCCACCTGATGCAGTCCATTCCTGGAATGCACAATCCTGAGAAATTTGAGGTAGAAAATGTAGAAATGACAGGCATGCCATGACCACACATTGTACAATGTATGATCATGCTTGACTAAAATATTCCATAGATTGTGTGCAAGTAAATGTGAGGGTACGAGTCAATACTTTTTTTTTTTTTCTTTTTTTTCTCAAGGTGTTCTGTTATGCGCTCAGTCCTGATGATAGCACCAACTTCCGTGTGAAAGTGGTAGCAGAGGCTCATCATTTCACAGACCTCTCACAGGTAACAGGTTTGACCTGGAGATGCTTCATGTGTGTCCATTATTCTTAAAGAATGGGCTTGTCCAACTGGCTTGTCTTTTTAAATATACGGGTTGCGGAATGCGATGCCAAAATCCACAATTTTACTGAAACTGGCACCTCTCACCTGCAGATTCCTTGCAATGGCAAAGCAGCTGATCGTATTCACCAGGATGGAATCCACGTTCTGGTCAACATGAATGGATACACAAAGGGAGCCCGAAACGAGCTCTTCGCTCTCCGCCCCGCCCCCGTTCAGGTGAGCAACAGCTGTGGTTTTTTGGGGATAAATGTCCACTGTGAAAAATAGTACTTGCATCTTCAAAGTTTTATTCATCCAAACTCCACAGACTATGTGGCTGGGTTACCCTGGAACCAGTGGTGCCCCCTTCATGGACTACATCATCTCTGACAAGGAAACTTCACCTTTGGAAGTCGCTGACCAGTACTCTGAGAAACTGGCCTACATGCCCCATACTTTCTTCATTGGAGACCACGCCAACATGTTCCCTCACCTCAAGGTTTGTACATCCTCAGAATTGGTTCATTAGTTTCTGTCAGCCTTTTTAAATACAGAAAAAATAGGAAAAGGAAACAGTTTGAAATATAATATAACATTTATTTCTTTTTTGTGCTCCGTAGAAAAAAGCTGTGATTGACTTCAAGTCCAATGGACACATCTTTGACAACCGCATTGTTCTCAATGGTATTGATCTGAAGGCTTATCTGGACAGCCTGCCAGATGTCAAAGTGATAAAGGTGAGTTAAGTGCATTTCCTGAAGAGGAAATCCTATAAGTGGGTTTATGACCTCATAACAATAAAAAAAAAATCTTTAATTTCTGTCATTTGAGTTGATGATTTTCCAGGGGGAAATCTTTGACTTTGTAAAATGTAAATTATGATCCTAAAATATTAAAGTTTTGAATTCATGTTGAAATTGTTCCTCTTGACCAGATGAAGGTTGACAACAACCAGGAAGCTGCTGGGGATGCAAATGGAGCTCTGTCCATGCCCGTCATCCCCATGAACACTGCAGCCGAGGCAATCATCAATATGATCAATCAAGGGCAAATCCAGGTCACAATCAACGGCTTCACCATCAGCAACGGCTTGGCAACCACACAGGTTCGTTTAAACTTGGACACATCCATCCATTAAAGTCCAAATCTCGACGGCTGTAGCATGGGTACAAAATATTTAGAAATGCAAAAGCAAGGCAGGTGCAGCCATTTAACGTTGCTTTCTCAGGTCATTTAAGTAGTGAAATGAATGAATGAAATAGTAAATGAAATGAGATGGGCCAAACAGCCGAGGTTTGTCCCGCCTTTTTAACTCGTCAGGACATAAGCAGTAAAATTACTCCACCTCTAAGCAATACTCCTTTGTCCGTCATTGTAGATCAACAACAAAGCTGCCACTGGAGAGGAGGTGCCACGCACCATCGTCGTGACAACCCGCTCCCAGTACGGTCTCCCGGAGGACTCTATTGTCTACTGCAACTTTAACCAGCTCTACAAGATTGACCCTCCTACTCTTCAGATGTGGGCCAATGTAAGTTGGATGAACTCCTAAATGCTTTGGCTGCATCTTTTTTTTTTTTTTTTTCTCTCTCCTTTTTAAACACTCTCTTCTCCCTGCAGATCCTGAAGCGCGTGCCCAACAGTGTTCTGTGGCTTCTTCGATTCCCGGCTGTTGGCGAGCCCAACATCCAGCAGTACGCCCTGAATATGGGTCTGCCTGCCTCTCGCATCATCTTCTCTCCCGTGGCCCCCAAGGAGGAGCACGTGCGACGGGGCCAGCTGGCTGACGTGTGCCTAGACACTCCTCTGTGCAATGGTCACACCACAGGCATGGACGTCCTCTGGGCCGGGACACCCATGGTCACCATGCCAGGTGAGGACAGACCCGCAGCGGTCGGTCGCTAATTGGACACAAATGATTCATTTAACTTCTCGTACAATTGTTTTCAAATTCAGATTTCTCATGTTTAATACCAAGTATGCAGAACACATTTCCGGTAAAGGCTGCTTTTTGATTGTAAAACCTATTTTTTAAGGTGAGACCCTTGCCTCCCGTGTGGCTGCCTCGCAGCTCAACTGCCTGGGCTGCCCCGAGCTAATAGCGCCGAATCGTCAGGACTATGAGGACATAGCCGTCAAACTGGGCTCTGACATGGAATAGTAAGTACAAACGGATTCACTACTTGAGAGAACATTTTTGTTAAACTGAAATTTGACTTCTTTGTCTTTTAGTCTGAAGATGGTCAGAGCACGTGTTTGGAAGCAGCGAATTTGCAGCCCTCTTTTCAACACCAAGCAGTACACGATCGACCTGGAGCGGCTGTACCTGCAGATGTGGGATCACTACAGCAATGGCAAAAAGCCTGAACCTCTGGTCAATATCCATTCAGCAGAGGCCAATGAGAATGCCTGAACTGGAAGCACAATGAATTCTTGTCTTTTTTTTTTTTTTTTTTTTTTTTTTAAATACCTCCATCATATCCAGCCCTCCCACTTTTTTTTTTGTTAAAACATTATTGACACTTGTTGGGAATGGTCGATCTGCACTCCAGCCCGCTCCCATTGCGCTCATCTGCTATAAACGGGACTCTTGTTTGTGAAGGAGCCTACAGATGTACACATCCACCCCCATCCCATCCGTTGTTTCATCACACATCTGCATTTCCTGAGCCAGATGCAGCCTGAGACTTTCAGGCATCTCGTCTGAGACTCAAACAGTATATTTGGTGAGCGTGAGGATTGTGAATGCCCTGCTAACCCCTCTGTACTTGGATATTTTTTCCGCTCCTGTGTGTGCGTGTGCACAGGATTGTCTGCAGCTTGTGGAGAGAATGTTCAGCCCTCATTTCTTGTTGATCTATTTATAAATGGATTAAGAGTGGTTTTAAAAGGACAATGATGCACCAATGAAATTGTAAGTTTTAAGCTTTAACATGCGATTGTAAAACTTAAATTGCAACAGAGTGCTCTTTAGTTTGTCCTAAACTGTTTAATTACTACAATGAGGTAGATGTGCAAGTTTTGAAGAATGCAGTCTCAATAAGGACTGCTTCCCTTCACCAAATGCCAGATTTTATTCTGTCAGTCAAGGAATATGTCCAATGGCTGTTGTCCTGTTTGATGTCACACCATGCTTGTAAAAATATTGGACAAAGTTTAAATTCCTTGGTAAAGGCCTACATTTTAGTTTAGATGTCAAAGCAGTTTTTTTTCATCACACAAACGGAATGGCCTAGGTAAGTATTTTCTAAGTTTTTTTTAAAAGTTTTTTTTGTATTGTCTGTTAAATGTATGCTCAATGATGCCAAGAGGGTCTAAATATAATTAAAAAGAAATAAAAGAGATGGCGGAACTCTAAAAATGTTGTGCTTGCTTGACTCTGTTGTTGGAGGGAACAATTGGGGGCCAATCCCCTTTTTGTTGTTTAAACGGCTACCAAGCTTGCTTTGCTCTTTAGGGTGATAATGGTTAAATGACGATTTGATAATTGTGTTCCTTGTCTATTTAAATAGCTATGTGAATTTATATAGCCAATGTTCTGTCATGTAGCAGGTATGTGGTCTTAATGGTGATCAAAGTACTTCCTCTGAAGTTTGCAGTAGTGATAATGACTAGCTAAAGCCAACACTAGTGGGAAACCAGTCCAATCAAGAGCGAGGAACTTAAATTGGCCTCCACTTGCAAAGCCAGTCAAGTTTTAGGGGTCACATTGTTGCCCCTCCTAGTGCACCTGTTTAACAAAATACATGACTGAGCAGATCATTATCAAAGTGCAATTGAATTCATGCCATACCCTGATAAAATGTTTTATTTTTTGGGCAGTGTGTAAAGTCACCTTCGCAGACCGAATGTAACCTTTTCGTTGTGGTTTTTACACCACATGACGAACGGCAGTCCCGGATCTCAGTAGCTGATTAGTTGGTGGGCGTGGACATAATCTCTTGAAGCTCGCTCCAATTGGTCGAACGTCTTCTTAACCACTTCCGGTATGACGCAGCACCAATTTTGAATTCGCCGTCGCTTAACTCCGTTTAACTACAGAAGCGCTTTCGGTAATGATATGTCAAATCAAATGAATACTCATTTTATTTAATTTATTAGCGTATACGTAATATTCAATGGGAGGTTTAAGCATCGCATGACTAACGACAATTTCTGAACGACTTTGAAAATGTTGTGTTTTAGTCCAACCATGTGTTAGCTAGCAAGGTGCTAACGGGAATGCTATCGTTTCTTACTAACGTCAATGTAAACCGTTTACGTTACGTCAACGTGAGGCGAACGTGTGGCTCTACAACTGTAACCGGAGCAACAACAAACCGGTTTTTACCCCCACGCCTTTCGGAAGTTTATTAAGTAATTGCGTTAATATAACCGTTTGTTTGTAGTGTTGTAATTTAAATGTTAAAGGAAGCAATGAATGAAGTTGAGAAGATTGCCCGCGATGGGGACGGAGCACTGGACGCAGCGGGAACAAAGGTTTGTTGCACAGTTCATTAGTTTGTCTTCGCCACAATTTTCACATAACATGTTTGTTTTAATAACTCGTGAACTCACTGTCCGCTGTGTTTTTGTACATTGATAGAAACGTATAAGGTTAGGAGAAGCCGTTTCATCTGTAGGTTTTCAATCAAAGGCTGTTTCCAGCTTCTTATTTGTGGGGATATTATGTCATATCATGGCAAAGGGAATATACATTTATTTTGAACTATTGGTCCTACGAAGCATATTATAAAATACTAATGGTGAAATTCTATTAACTAAATGATTAATTGATCAAGCAAATGAACAGCAACTTTATTGATAATGAAAATAATCATTTGCAGCGGCTCTATTTAATTGTTAAATCATTAACATTTAATCATGTTATAATTTGTCTGTCTCTATTGTCTCTAGCTTCACTCGTCCTCCCCAGTCCAGCTTTGCCTCTCTGATTCAGAAGATATTCCAGAGAAAGAGAACCTGTACTCCAAAAGAAACAATTACCGAAATACGCCCTTGATTGAGTCCAGTGATGATGATTTTGATAAACGTGAGTTAAATTGTTTGAATTCATATTGCTGAATTCTGACTTTGTGTACAAATGCACATGTGTTGATTTGTCCTTTTTGTTTCTTAGTTCTTGTGGCTACACCGAAAACTAAACCCGCCTCACTAAAGCCACGTAGTGTTGCAAAGAAAGATTGGTATGTAAAAAGTCAGTGTGTTACAAATGTTCTTCTTTGTGTTGTTTTCCGCTTTCAATTTCACCTCTCATTTCTCACATCAAGGTTACTGTCTAAACAGTTTTCTTTTTTCAGGTCAAAGGTTGTTGTGTTGAGCTCGGACGATGACGACGGTTTCGAGACATGTAAGGGGCCTGTTTCTGCTGGGCACAGTATCAGTAACCAATGACAACAAATACGTTTGTCATCAGTTAGATGGTCAAGAGAACATCTTTTATAAACTTTTTATACAATTTTTCCCTCATTAATTTTAATGTTTTACATTGAAGTTCTGCAACGAGTGAAAACCCCGACCGCCAAGCCTAAGAATATATCAGAAAGTGGGAGTGAAGATCGGTGAGTGTGTTTACTTTACTTTTTTCTCTTTGTCAATGCCTGGAAAATCCTGTTTTCTTAAAATAACAATATTTTGTTTATTCTGAAGCCAGAAAAACTTCATTGTGGGGGACTTCTCCTCAGATGATGACTTTATTACCACCAAATCATCTTTTAAAGGTAACTTTTAACCATCAGTCTTGATGTTCTTTTTCTATTTTAAAGAAAGGTGACATTTTTTCTTCTTCACTCTGTCTCAGTGCCTAAGAAGCGGAATACTCCAGCAGCACTGCATCCGCCGAGGAGACCACTGTCTCAGTGCAACTCCCCGGTCTTTGTTAGTGACAGCGATGACGATGAGGATAACGTTGTGGTCAAGAGCACTTGGAGGACTCGCCATTTCAAAGCTAAAACCCCGGCAAAGTTTACCAAGGAGAGCGCTCCGCAGTGCGAGGAACGGGACGGCTTGCCATCGCTGCCGTTCCGCTCTGTCTGTTCTCCTTGTTCTTTTCTTCCCCACAAAACTACAACGCCACCGGCCTCCCCAAAGCGCACTCTTTCTGCCCCTTCCAAGCTGAAGGAATCGGACAGTTCCGAGGAGGAGTTCACATCCCTCCTGGAGAGACTGAAAAATAAAAACAAGCTGACCGGCACCACATTCTCACCTAAGAGCGCCTTTGGTAACGGCTTTATTTGTGTTGCCACATTTAAATGGTGTCCAACCTTTTGCCTTTCATTCTAGTTGTTGAAATCTATACATTTGGGTTTGAATCTCTCCCTCTGGTCAGTTCCTTCCGTAAAGGCACCTGTAACATCGGCCCCTAAATCAATTCGGGAAACGCCCCTGACTGTGAAGACACCCGGAAAATCCACCGCCCCGAAGCCCACAGTCAGTCAGACCGAGCCCAGACACGGCCCCACCAGCAGGTTCTGTATTCATTCTGTACTTGAATGTCGCTTACACACACACACACACACGACTTGTCTTCAATTCACCTGTTCTTTCCCCTCTAGGCTGCCCCTGTGTAAGACCCCCGGGTGCTTCTTGCAGTCACTAACAAACCCTGGCTCCAGCTATGGCCGCAATTTCAAGCAGAACAAAGAAGAACTCACCAGTAGATTGTTCCAGCTCTACAACGCCAGTGTGTTTGACAGTAAGGTGATGAAGAGCAGCGTTTCCCCCCTCATGTTTCTGACAAATAATAATGACTGAATGTATTCATGTTTTCCATCTGGTAATTGCTTCATTAACGTGCAGAATATCATTTTTTTTTCCTCGTCCGACATGACGTCCAGTTCCCCGCCAACATGTCAGTGACTTGGAATAAGAAGATGAGGAAAACAGCCGGTTACTGTGTCACGGGTCAGGAGCGAGCCGGGGGGAACCGCTACGCCCGCATTGAGCTGTCAGAGAAAGTCTGTGATTCTGCAGGTAACGCTTTAGTAAGGCCCACGTGCAAAGATGAAGCCAATTGTCTGCTCAAAAGTCCCCAATTGTCTGCTCAAAATATGCGACGTCATGGATGATCTACTCGTTTCACCACAATCTCGCGGCCATCCCCCTTCCTAGACCGCCTCAGGGACACCCTGATTCACGAGATGTGCCACGCTGCTACCTGGCTGATTAACGGCGTCCGGGACGGCCACGGAAACTTCTGGAAGCTGTACGCTCGCAAGTCCACCCTGGCGCATCCCGAGCTGCCCGTGGTCACCCGCTGCCACAGCTACGACATCAAATACAAATTCCAGTACCAGTGCTCCCGCTGCCAGAATACGTACGTTGGGGATTTTAAACAAAACCATTAACCGCTCGTCTTTCTTTACTGTGCAGTAATATAATGCATGATTCTTCACAGGATCGGCCGTCACTCCAAGTCGCTGGACACGCAGAAGTTTGTTTGTGCGCTCTGCAAAGGGCCTCTGGTCTTACTGACGTCTGGCAAGCCGCGTGCTCCCACACCTTTTGCCAGCTTTGTCAAAGAGAATTATGGGAACGTACGACAAGAGCTGTGCGGACGGAGCCACGGGGACGTGATGCGGAAACTTAGTGCAGACTTTGCCTCTAAGACTAAACTAAGTCAAAGCTGAGAGGAGGATACTCTCGGGATTTGCAGGTGTTTCCGAACCTGTTGAAATTTTGAAATCTTGTCAACCAATGTTGGATTAGTCTCTTACTCTTTTAGTATTTCTGTCATCGTCACTAGATGGACTAGACTGGATCTACAAGTTCTGAGGAAATTTGAGCCTAAATATTAAGTTCACTTTACTGGGTGTGTGTGTATATCTGAAGATAAAGCCGCGTCGGAGGATGACGTTCATCGCTGGTATCTGATATATCCTGGAATGGTGGTTGGCATTGTACTGAATGCGATGATTTTATTCCTTTTTATTAACCTGTTTCCTCTTCTGATAGAAACTCTGTAAATAAAGTTTAAATGTGTCTCCGTACATGAAATGGTCTATTTGATTTTAGTAACTTGAATTGATTTTGTTGATGTTAGTCACACAAAATGATAATGTAATTTAGTAAATCAGTTATTGGGGCTCGTGAGTTCTGACATGACATAAGGGGACACCATGTAAGCCGAGCACATGACAAAAATATTCGCTTCACTCTGAAAAGCTCAGGGGGGAAAAGCACCTCTGACGCATCTTTAACTACCCATTTGAGATGAGCTACGGGTGATTTTATCTGGTCTTGAACCTCAACTCGGTCCAGGTCAATCTGTCCTGCTGTCGTCCTCACACCCTGCCTGTCAGGAACATCGGCGCTGACACTGCACAGCGGGACCTGCTGTTGTGGTCACCTGATCCCCGACTGCTTGCACAGTGATGCTCATGCTTTAGCAACCACCATCATCTACAACCTCGGGGTGTCACTTGTCCCTCTTGTTTATGGGGAGCTGCAGCAAAGGATGCGACAGAGCTGTTATCAATAAAACAATCGTTTCTTCCTGCGCTGCCTGAAAGAGAAGAGCGGTATCACGCTTGGCATTCACTTGATTGTTTAAAATACTACTATGGTTGTATAGCGAGTCATTATGCTGTAGTAAGGTAGCAGCATCTTCCTGTAAAGCATTTATCAGCAGCAGCAACATGAATGATGTGATTAAAAGGAGAAAACTGCTTCAAGATATTTAATTTGTACTTTAAAACACGTATATGCTGTTTATCTACACATTAAAATCACTTCATCTTACAAAACATTCAAGAGTACAGCGTATTTTGTCTATTATACACAGTTATGCACCGAGGGATAATCAATGCAACAAAAAAACAAAACACCGAGTCATATTTTTTTCCACATGTAGAACCGAGGTGAGACAGCAGGTTACTGAAGCATGAGCCACTGAAGTCACCGCGTAAACCAAATGTAACGCGCACTGTATTCTCAAAGCATTGAAATGTGCTGTGGGAAGAAACTGAGAATACTTGACAATGAATCACCTACATATTGTCCTTAATATTAGGAATGCGCTTTTCAGGAAAGTATGTAGAATTCCAAGCAAGAAAGCGAGGGATCTCTTCCGTTTTTTGATGTATGTAAATTACCATGTAAATCAGTGGATGATATTTGGGCATTTTGACCACAAGTCTTACACAACTTTCTGTGAGTGTGGTACATGCCGGCTATTTGATTGATTCTTTAGGAGTGGAACTGAAAGCCCAAAACACAATAATAAGGAAAGCTACATTTGATATATGAGCAGCATCACGTGAGAAACCACCACTGGACCACTTCACACCGACCGATCGCAGTGTTATTTACGTCCTTCAGTACAGACAAGTTTTCTTCATGATGCGCAGGAACTCCTGCTGGTTCACCTCTCCGTCTCCATCCCTGTCTGCTTCATCGATCATTTCCTTTACAGACACACAACGGAACACCAGGTGAAAGGAAGCTAGTTTGCAGGTATTCACAAGCACAATTTCCTGAGGATAGGATTCAAAACCGTTGAACGCGATGGGCCTGTGAGCTACAGCCTCCTGAGCATTTGTATATCTTACTGTTTTGTTCCATAATGACGTGCTTTACCTGCAGCTCTTCATCTGTGAGGTTCTCTCCCAGCTCCTTCGCAACCCTCTTCAGGTTCTTGAATGAGATCTTTCCCGTCTCGTCGTCGTCAAATAGGCGGAACGCTTTCAGGATCTCCTCTTTGGAGTCCTTCTCGGCCTAAAATCGGAGAAAGGGGAGAGTAGTTTTACCACAAACGGCCACATTTGCATCCTCTTGCATAATGGCAACGAGATCATATTTCATGATAGATATCCACCATTTTCTGCGTCATGACAGAGAGGAAGTCAGCGAAAGAGATCTTCCCTGTGCCGTCCTTATCCACGTCCCCAATCATCTTCTTGATCTCCTCTTTCTTCGGTTCAAACCCCAGAGCCCTCATGGCAACCTGACGCAGTGTGACAAACGAGAGAGAGAGAGAGAGAATGAAGCACCCATAGGAGACGGTCTCTCTCTCCCTCCCCCCCAGAAGATCAGCTTCCAGGCCCTTTCTACCTTGAGCTCCTTGACATCGATGTATCCGGATCCATCGGTGTCAAACAGCTCGAAGGCCTCCCGGATCTCCTGCTTCTGCTCCTCGGTCAGCTCCGGTTTGGGGGTCGTCTTCTTGCGAGGAGGGGGCACGGGACCCTGCAGGGAGGGTCTCTTGGCACCAGTTGCCTGGTGGGGGGAGGAAGGGATGGGGTGGGGGGGGGGGGGCGACAAAGGAAAGGGAGGCATAGGGAGACAAATCAGACCAGACGCGAGTCCCGTTGTGATGGCAACAGAACCAGCGACCTAAACAATGAATTAGTATGTAGAGCTGATTCACCACAGACAATATAATGTAACACACCGACAACCATTCAGGTTAGAATCAAACATTTAAACTCACCATCAGTTGCTGTTGGTTTGACTGACAAAAACGAGCTGCAGATCTATGAGGCGATGTGTTTTCTTCTGGAAGCCTTCCTGTAATTTAAGGCGATGATGAAATCAGCTGCTTGCATTACCCGCTGAATTACCCTGAAGATGAGAGTCTCCTGATGCTCAAAAGCCGTCTCTATCTTCCAGAGGAACGGCTGTTAAAACCCGCGGAAATGTAACGTCTTTAAGCTCACGACATGCACAGGTCCTGTTGTTTAGGAGCCGCCGTCATAAAGCGCTCGATTTGTTCACCCCCTGGGCCGTTATTCGAGGTAATTCGTTTAAGCTCCGTCCGGCAACTCAACCAGGATACGGCCGGGTACAAGCCGGTGAGGATATCGAGCGCATCAGTTGGGCGAAGAGATGATTGGCTGTTGAAGGCCACGGGTTGCGAGGCGCGAGCTGAATATTCAGCGATCGAAATGAAACTACAAAGAGACAATATGAAACATTAGGAACAACGTGTCTCGTATTCATCGTAGGACATGATATATATATATATATATTGTACAATATAAATGGTGCGTTTGCTTACGGAAATCGGTGACATTGCCTCAATACACCCTCTAGTGTCAGCAGACAGAAAAAAAGAACGGTACTAACCCCAAATAATAAGACATAAGAAATGGCCACTTGCAAAAATTAAAGGGAAACATTTTAGGGATGTATAGGATTTACTGACAATGTAAAGTAAAAATAAATAAATATTTTTCATTTATTTACAAAAATTCAGATATTAGCAACTAACCTCTTGCTTCTCTGACTGTCTGAATAAAGCACCTTGTCGTTGTAATAATCTAGACTAGAGTACAGACACACCGGCTGGTGTGGTTACACTTGTTAGATGAGCTATCTATTCTACTTATTGTTGGACTATAACTCCACTGGTATTTGGCATATCTGTCTCAGTGTCTGTTTTGTTTTATTACATTACATGCATGGGCTAACAAAATACTAAAGTTAGCTGTTTGAACAAAACAAGGCGACACGTTTCTTATCTTGTCCATATCGTTGGTTGGATTTACACTAGGGGGTGTGGTCTTTGAACAAGGAGGCGGGAAGAATCGATTTGCGTTCGCCGATTGGTTTACATTGTGGCGTTCTTTGACGTACCTGTCACACGATTGGCCACCCTTAAACCCCCTCTTCCTGCCGAGCCTTGGCTCGACCAATCACAGAGCACTTACCGCTCGGCTCACTCACACGGTCCGTGGTTAAGATGCGTTTTCGTTGAACGCACCGTCCGCAGGTGAACGCAGCAGCCTATCACGTGCTTCTTATGTTACAAGCTTGCCACATTTACGGCCTGTATTTTATATACTTATTCCTTATCATTCCACGTTGTAAGGGATCACATTTTCACCACGGTTCCTGACGCTCTCGCTCAACTCTTTTCATTCGTTATGGCAACGCGCGTGCGACCGGTGAGTGGAGACGTTTTCTGTTTGTTTTCATCCGTTTTAAACCTCTTCTTTTTTTTCGAAATCCAACTAACTTTCATTGTCCGCCGTACAGAGCAGTAAGCGGTGCGCGGTCATCGGGGGGTCCGGCTTCCTGGGGAGACACCTGGTGGAGAAGCTGGTGGACCGAGGCTACACCGTGTCTGTGTTCGACATCCGTCAGAGCTACGAGCTCCCCGGGGTCACCTTCCACCAGGGAGACCTGTGCGACAAACAGGTGAGCAGCCCCTTCCGGTCCAGCCCCCCCCCCAAAAAAAACAACTGGTGCAATACAGATAAACGGTCTCCACACTTGATCTCTTGATACACACGCACACACACGTATACATACATACACACGTACACCTACACCTACACTTTGTCCCATTCTGCTCCAGGCTCTGCTGCCCGCTATGAAGGACGTGTCCCTGGTCTTCCACTGCGCCTCGCCGGCCCCCGCCAGCGACGACCGCAGGCTGTTTGAGAGGGTCAACATCGAGGGCACGCGCACCGTCATCCAGGCCTGCAACGAGGCTGGAGTGCAGGTGAGGCGCCTTTTTTCTTTCAGCTTATGGGCTGTTGAGGGCTGAAAGATGCCATCGGAGGGGCTTGACCGTTGCCCGATGTGTCCCAGAAACTGGTCCTGACGAGCAGTGCCAGCGTGGTGTTCGAAGGGACCGATGTGAAGAACGGGGGGGAGGATCTGCCGTACGCCAAGAAGCCCATCGACTATTACACACAGACCAAGATTCAGCAAGAAAAGGTAGGAGTGGGGGGGCCTGTTTCACCGGTGTAGCGCTGTTTGTGCTGTTGCCCCCAAAACAATTATTGCTTGATGGATTCATTTCTTTAAGTTTTTTTCTTTCTTTTTTTGCCACTTTAGTATGTGTGACCTTTTGTCAAAGCACACTTAGTTGGAGATTGAGTCTCTGACTTGCACATAGCCGTGATTTTGAGCGTCAGTTTTAGCCCGGTGATCTACAGAACCCAGCGGCTGCTAGCACAGTCTTCGTCTTATTTGAGAATAAATAAATCATTTTAACAAACCGATTATTTACTCCCGACTTGTTTTGCACACTTTGCCTTGTTTTTAATTGGCATCATGCAACAGCACAATATAATCTCCGGCAGTGGTGAGTGCGTCTTTCCAGGGCTTCCTGGAAAGACGCACTCACCTGGAAAGGGATGAGAGGAGTAATCAAACTCTTTTTTTTTTTTTTTTTTTTTTACGATGCAGAGTCGCACTTTCTTACGACTCTCTTTTGTGTCTCAGCTGGTCCTGGAGGCTTTTGACGAGGGGAAGGGTCTCCTCACCGTTGCCATCCGGCCTCATGGCATCTTTGGCCCTCGGGACCCACAGCTGGTTCCCATTCTAGTGGACAGTGCTCGCAAGGGCAAGATGAGGTTCATCATTGGGTAAGACCGATGATGCCATTCCTACTTGGAAAATCTGCTATTGGATGGGATAATCTGCAAATAGGGTATTTGTCTCTGGTTTCAGCAACAATCACGGTAGAAAAATACCAAAAAACACAACAAATATGTGTTGAGGTGCTTGAAGTGGTGCACATTGTTGAACCATGAGGCACCATAATCAGAGGCTCCCGTTTGTTCTGATTACCTTTTCTAGCGTTATAGACGCTAACTTTTTTTCCTCCATTATAAGACTCTTAAGATCAAACTGGAGTTAATTTGGGGTTTTACATTTAGTACTTGCATTCCTACTTTTCCCTCTCCTTGAATCACACTCCCATCCCACCGGCAGGCTCGCGTCTCCTCTCGCCACTTGAATAGTTGAAATCACTTTAGAGGCGGTAGCTGGGACGCATGGTCTGCTGTTCCGGTGCGCTGAACTTAAAAAAATATTCCGAGCAAATAATGGGATATTTCTTTGTTCAATTCTCTGCCTTTTTTTTGTTTTCTGCAGTGACGGAACCAATGTGGTGGACTTCACCTTCGTGGAGAATGTAGTTCATGGCCACATCCTGGCTGCTGAACGCCTGAGGCCGGACTCCCCCATATGTGGAAAGGTGAGCGAGAATAAAAATGCAAAGCTGAGCCGGTTTAAAGAATTCTCTCCGTACTCTCTGTCACCTGTCACACACTTTATCATTTAGAATTGGATTTTCTCTTTGGTAAATGCGCTGCAGACTGAATTTCATCTTGTGTCTCCCGCTTTACTTCCAGCCGTACCACATCACCAACGACGAGCCGGTCAGGTTCTGGGACTTCATGTCCGAGGTGCTGGTGGGTCTGGGCTACGCCGCTCCCCGCTACCACCTCCCTTACGCTGTGGTGTACGGCTTGGCTCTGCTCCTCTGGCTGCTGGCTCTGATCCTGCGCCCCCTGGTGTCCTTTAAACCCACCTTCACGCCCATGAGAGTGGCTCTGGCTGGAACCCACCACTACTACAGCTGCGAACGGGCCAAGCGGGACCTGGGCTACAAGCCGCTGGTCAGTCTGAAGGAGGGCATAGCGCGCACGGTGCAGAGCTACCCTCACCTCAGGCGAGGAGCCTGAGGGTAGACGGCTCAACAGTTACTCTCACTCAAGAAGTGAGGGGAACCAGAAGGGACGATTCAACATGAGGCAACAGAAAGTTTCTCTTTATCCCAAGCTCCCGGTGTGAAACGCATTAGTGCCTTCTCAGCCTTTTATGTACATTTCCACCAGCAGATGGCAGCAAGTCTTCACGATTTTGGTCATCGCCCTGTCAGTCTGGCTTATTTCACGTTTTAAAGCACTTGGTGAACAGTTAAATAACTCGTATTTACCGATCTTACACTGTGAGAAATATCCTTGTATTTTTTCATCTTGTACTGTACACACACTGCAATGCTGTTCTGTCAAAATGCCTTAATACATTCCACTAAACCACGATTCTCCTGGAACAACTTGCCTGATATTGCTTTTAAAAAGATCGTGCTTTTCTAAAAACACTAAACTTGTGTTTAAGTTACCCACTTGATGCTGCCGCTCCACTTAACAAAGCATTTCACACAGAACTAGAACTTGAGTGCGAGTGAGGAAGTTCAATTCAGTGATCCTACGTACAGTGGGACTAATCAATACAACAATCAATAATTAACATATGGAACTGTTTTCTGTCCTTGTACTTTTGGTCATACAGTGTTTTTCCATATGAACAATTCACTCACATTCTTTACACACCAAACCCTTTTGGCTTCATACCGATACCGGATCCGTCTCCGTAACGCGTGTCATTCAGATGATGTACAAAGAGTTATGTTACGTGATAAAATACTATTCCACTGCTGTCATCAAGTAAGATGATGGAGCGGTGAAGAGAGAATGCATGATGAGAATTCTTCATCCTACATTTACGTTCCAGCTGTCATTCGGTTGTTTTCATGATGAGGAATATACAAAACCTCAAAAGGCCTGAAATGTTGGCTTGCGCAACAATTTGGATTTTTTTTGTAGGTGAAGCATGTCTGCCTTTGTGTGTCTTTGTGCGGTGACAGCAAGGTGGGGGTTTAGGCCGGATAGTTTGAATTCTCTGCACCCTAATGATTCACTGCTGAGTCGGCGTCACAGGAAGGGCCGTCGGACTGGTTTCTTGTTCAAGAGCGATCCAGCCAGATAATAAACCTGCGCTTTTACACTTGCCAGTAAGGGTGAAACTTTCTGGCTCTGTGCCATGCTAATGTCCTGCTCCGCCCCGTGGCTCATATGTTGCAAGGTCTATTCACACTATTTTCTGATTTGAAAAGTATTTTGTACGTGGTTGTAAATGGTCAGCCATTTTTTTGAAGCAGTTGCAGGTCGCAATTTTTTTGCCTTTCAGTTCAACAAACTCTGGCAGAGTTATGCACTGATTAAACATTTAGTTTGCACTAAGCTCCGTCTGCCGTCCATCCCAGAATATGAGCTGGTGTGGTAGACCACACTGATTATATACAGCTATAGAGATTTCTAATATTCAAGCTGATGGTAAAATGTCTCTTATTTCAAATAGGATATTAGATGTCAATACCATCCAAATAAGTCATTTTATTGACGTTTCTGTTTACTCCCGCTTGCCTCGGTTGGTTCAGCTGTGTGTTGTTATCGATCTCATTTTAATGATGCGTGTGCTTCCCGTGTTCTCCTGCCCAGTGAGCGTGAGAGCAGCGGTCCCACCGGGGACGTTGCTGCAGGCCGCTTGGTTTGCGTGGGCCACGCTGTGCACCCCGTCGCCTTACTCCTTCTCAGAAATGTAATGGTGAGCCACCTGTACGGCAGGTATGTGCCCGCCAACTCCCGTAAACATAATGCGGATGTAGTAAACAAGAAATGAGTACTTAGCAACCTCAATCTCTCACACACACACACTCTGCTCCACCCTCCCCCCCCATCCTATCTTCCTTAACTGGCTGGGCTTGTTAGTGCTCACGCCCGTACCTGTTCGCTGAAACAGCGAGCGAGACACCTGTCAGACAGAGAAAGACGTTCTCTCCCTCTCAGGGACACTGCAGACACGGACTCTCGGACTGAGCAGGGTGGATAGTTCTCTCCTGGGAATAAAGTGAAAGCAGGTAGGTGCTGCGGCTGGTTATTGTCAACATGGTTGAAAGTATGTGGGTAGATTCTTTGTATTTGGGTCAGTCAGTGATCAGCAGCTGTGAGGACGGAAACATCTAAGAGAAACCAGTCTTGATGTATGAACGGTTGGAGTGTCGTCTGGGGATTGTCGGGGCTCGTGCTCGTGTTTTCTTTGGGTGTTTCCCCGTCATGATTGCAGTAGAGTTTTCCGTCCTGCTCCCTGTTTGTCTTTAAATGCTGTTGCTCTTCATGACTCATTTAACCCCTTTCGGGCCAAAGTGCTAAACCTAAGACAAGTACGCCTCCCAAGCCCTCTGTGTGTTTGTTGTGTCACCAGAGATATTGCGGTGAAAAGGAGTGAATTCTGAGCCTCGGGAGTTTTCACGTTAGATTTGCATTCTGAATTTAGTTCCATTTTTCATGAGCTGTAGTCCGCGCCTACTTTCCTCTTCAGTTCCCAGGGCGGTGGGTTTCCCGCTGAGTGGGGCTCTTTTGACCTTTTAAATAACTGGGTAGTCATTTCATTTTAATATGTACGCAAGGAAGTAATCTCTACTACTCATCCTCAACAGCATATTTTGTATCCAAACACAAGGGGTGAGAGTCCATTTGCAATCAGCCAACATCAGTGTTTTTCAGAAAGTGGCAGGACAGGATCTGCATAGCTGCATAGCTAAAGGACGACACCAAAGAATGCTTTTACTTTACACACGTCCTTCACTGGGAGGGAACATGACCAATCTAAAACCGACTTCCTTTCACAATCAATGTCAATTTTCTGCCATTTCACCGTGAGGTTTGTCCATATATATTTTCAGCTGCCTGGTAAAGATAACAAACCAAAGGATTGAGAGACTTCGCCCCCCAGAGCAAGCATGTCAAAACGTGAGTACGGCTGAATGTGAGATGGTGGCGTTTTCTTCCCGTGTGTTTCTCTGCGGCGAGCTGATGACTCCGTCACTTCTGATCTTCTCTCATCGCCTTGAGTGGACGCAAAAAACCCCCCAAAAAAATCACAAGTGGTGGATTATGTGTTTGTGTGTTGGCCCAACGGGGATCGATAATCACGCATGCCATCAAGCACACAGTGATGGAGATGTCCTTGGACGTGTGTGTGTGTAATACCAAGTGCGTGGGTTTGTGTCTCAGAGGCGGACAAAGAATCGGTGTTCCTCACCACCAAAGTGAGGACCAAGCTGAAGGGAGACGGCAGCTGGTTGCAGCAGCGCAACGAAGCCCAGGGTGAAACCAACGAGGAGAAGCCGTGGTGAGGCCCCCGAGTTTAAGTAGCCGCGTCGTCCACCGTAACGGCCACTCGAATCGACAAAAACCTTTTTGGTTTCCTCTGGGAACACGCAGGTTAGCAGAAGTGAGGGCAGGACGTTTGAACGGAGAACCCGTGGAGACCAGTCCGGCGTCGTCACCAACAACATCCACTCCGCCGGACGTAAAGGCCGACGCCGAGAGGTAAACGCGGACCTCTAAGGTCACAGAGTTGTGCCACTACGTGCTGCTGTGCAATATGTGCTGAGTCTCTGTTTTGAATTTATAGAACACCGGCGTCAGGATTCCTGATCAGGTGAGATTAACACACGCACACTTAGATCACCAAACTGTAGATCTATTCAAGCGCTGAGAAATGGCACCAAACACTGGGCTTTTTATTTGAACTATAGTCGACATTATTGGGGAAAAAAAGGGTTTTGTTCTACTTTCAGAGGTGTTTTCACTAAGCTAGAGAGTCCTACTTTGTCTTCAACGAGTAACGGCGTTAGGTAAGAGCTTCTCCTGCTTAAACAAGCTTTATTGTGTGACCAGACACTCCCACTTTAATGCGATCTGTTATTGTTTGACAGTCAAACAGCGACACAATTCCCCAAGAAACCCTCAGAAAGCTACAAGAAAATGTGAGCGCTCGAGAAATCGGTTTCCCCAGTCGACCGCCATCAGATGAGTGAGAACATGTTTTGACGAGGTGTATGTTTTGCACTTCTGTTCCTTAGAGCCCCCTACACGGTGAGGCCCACCGCAGGGAACCAGGAGGCCCAGCTGAGCAGCGAGGAGCAGGAGAAACGGTATTGTCCTCGCCCAAAAGCAGGCCATCCAATTTGAACTCGCGTGACCCCGGAGAGGAGATTACTCTAACGTCATAACGACTCATTCATACAGGACGGAGGCTGCCAGCAGTGTTCTGATGAAATCTGCAGTCAGGCAACGGTCCTATGTGCTTTCTGCTGCTAAGAAATATGAGTATGTATGTCTTATGTCACGCTCCCGAATGCTTATTTTAACGCTCAAGTTAAGTGAGTTACATAGTTTAAACGGAAAAAAGTGCTTTTCACTTACACATGAAATGTTGGGTATGTTAAAATGTGTGTTGACCTCAGGACTCAAGATATGGCGCCCGAAACCTCTTTAGCCAACAGCAGTCCAGCATTTGTAGCTAGAAGGTAATTTCTTCCTCTGTCAACGCTTTAATACAAAAAAGAAACTTGTGATCTTTACCTTATCTATCCACTGTGTGTGTGTGTGTGTGTGTGTGTGTGTGTGTGTGTGCGCACATCTGTGCTCGGCTATGAATGTACAGGGTGGAGACAGTTGATGATGATGATGATGAGAGCGCTGCGACACCAGCACCTGCCAGCAATCCGCCCACCTCCCCCGCGGCGCCCGTCACATCTGTTGCCGCCGCCGCGCCTGAGCCCAAACCGGCGAGCGTGTAGGTCCCGTGCCGCCTTCCTACATGCGGTGCAACGAGTGCAAGGCTTCAAAATCATTCATTACGGTTATTCTTTACAGAGCCGACGCTGCGCCTGCGGCCCTGAAGGTGGTGAAACCCGCCCCGGGGCCTGTGAAGGACGCCCCCCCGCCAGGGCCTGTTGCAGTAAAGGATCCGTTTGAAGACACGCAGCCGGGTTGCACCAAGGTGGCCGCTCCTGCCCCTGTTCTCATCCCGGAGTGCTTTCAAGCTGTCCCTACGCAGCCAGAAGCAAAGGCCTCGGCCTTTTCCGGGCGAGTCAACACTCCTCTGGTTGACCTCGCCCCAGCGGCGCCAAGCCCGGCGTCTTCTACTCCAGCAGCCCCCGTCCCGTCTACGCCCGTCCCTCTGACACCTGCCCCAGTGTCCCCAGTGAAGACCGAAGCAAAACCAGAGTTCGTACCGAAACCGGCTCCACAGCTAAGGTGAGAGTTCCACTAAACGTGTTCAGTGCTGCCACATATTTTAACAAAAGTGCTGGAAGTAGTTTGTGTTTTAGTACAATAATATCTACTTAATGCATGCTTGCACTCAAGTACGGAAGGAATATTTCAACCTGCAGTCAGGTTGTGTATGTGCTTTTTGCTGCTGCTGCTAAGAAATATGAGTGTGTCTTATATCACTCCACCAAATGCTCATCTTAACCGTCAATCCGCGCGAGTTACATGGTTTAAACAGACTTTGAAAAAATGTGCTTTTCACTTACACATGATATCAGGAATCAGGAAACATTTATTAGCCAAAATATGTCAAACATACAAGGAATTTGTCTTGGCGGTTAGTGCGCGACAGTAGACAGACAAGACAACAGTGCACAAGTAATAAAATAAAGTGGAATGAAATGCTAAGGCTATGGGTTAGTATAAAATAAAGTTAAAAATTTTTAAATATTAAAAAGTTAAAAAGAAAAATATTAAGCATAAAGTGCACTAACGAACAAGTAACAGACAAGAGACAAAGTGACAAGTTGAGTATTTAGGAAAGAACTTATGTTAAAATGTTTGTTGACCTCAGGACTCAAGAGAGCGCTGCGACACCAGCACCTGCCAGCAATCCGCCCACCTCCCCCGCGCCGCCCGTCACATCTGTTGCCGTTGCCGCCGCCGCGCCTGAGCCCAAACCGGCCGCTCCTGCCCCTGTTCTCATGCCGGAGTGCTTTCAAGCTGTCCCTACGCAGCCAGAAGCAAAGGCCTCTGCCTTTTCCGGGCGAGTCAACACTCCTCTGGTTGACCTCGCCCCAGCGGCGCCAAGCCCGGCGTCTCCTACTCCAGCAGCCCCCGTCCCGTCTACGCCCGTCCCTCGGACACCTGCCCCAGTGTCCCCAGTGAAGACCGAAGCAAAACCAGAGTTCGTACCGAAACCGGCTCCACAGCTAAGGTGAGAGTTCCACTAAACGTGATCTGTAAGTGATAGCGATGGAAGTAGTTTGTGTTAAATAACTGCTATCGACTTAATGCATGCTTGCACTTAAGGGAAGGATCTGAATACTTCCACCACTGCATAGTATTTTTATCAGTGTACTTTATCTCTGACATCAGTGATGGTAAGCCTCAAACGTGTCTGTCAAGGTATTTTTGTCTTTAACGTAATGAATGAATTACATTACATTATTACATTACGTGTAACTTAGCTGACGCTTTTATCCAAAGCGACTTACAATAAGTGCATTTCAACCATAGGGTACAAACTCAGGAGAACAAGAAAGTTACAATTTACAATTTGCTATAGATGAGTGGCGTTATAAGTAGCCTACAATTTAAGTGCTACAATTTGTTAGTCTTTAGTCGAGGTGGAGTCTGAAGAGGTGTGTCTTTAGTTTGCGGCGGATGATGTGAAGGCTCTCTGCGGTCCTGATGTCTTCAGAGAGCTCGTTCCACCATTTCGAAGCAAGGACAGCAAAGAGTCGAGACCTAGTTGAGTGTTTTGCTCTCAGTGAGGGAGGAACAAGCAGTTTTCCAGATGCAGAGCGGATATAATTCATAATTCTTAAGCAAAGCTTTGATGTATGCCTTTTATGTGGTTTTCCCTGTGCTTGTTTGCTCTTATTCTACTCACGTATAGGATCTTTTTTTTCACAGCTCCGGTGTTGACACGCTCACCAACTTGTCCAACACCCTCATTACTTTCAACTCAAGTTCCACCAGGTACTTGAAAAAAAAATACCAAAGATGAAAGAAGGATAAAAGGAAAAAATGTGAAGAAAAAAATAGACCTTCACGTTCCAACCTCAACAAGCACGTGATAATAAGAGTGTATTTCCTCTCCAGCTTTGTGGATGACGCGCCAGTGCTGGCAGAGGAAGAAGCAGGTTCAGCGAACAGTCACACTACAGAGAATGGGTATAAAACAAACAACTTCCTCATCCATGTCATAGCAGGATTGGCAGGAAAAGAGATAATGGCTGACTGCCACTGTGTTCACTTTAAAGTAACCACAAAACAACCCGCATCTCTATTTCAGGTGCTTTAAAGTCCCTCACACGAGAGTCTGTCCCTAGTTGGACTTGATGAAGTGTAGCACTTCAGAATAATGTAATATGCAGATGTACGAAGACTTGCCGAAGCCGCCGCGCTCATTTGTTTTCTCCTGCTGTGTGCAGTGATGAAGAGGAGGCAGATCCAGAGCTCGGCAGCCGGGAACCACTCACAGATGATCTCCTGGCTTTCACCGACGGGTCAGTTAGAAACACGTCCTTGTTTTAAGGACCTCACATAAGACATCCTCCTAATACCCACAAGGTGGCACTGCTGGACTTCTAATGACCCACCCTCCCCCATCCGCTACCTCCTCCACCTCTACTGGCCTATTCCTGCCCCGAAATCTCCTCTGAATCCGAAACCCTCTTTTGTTTATCACCGCAATCTCCTCTTCCTCTTCATCCTTCCGCCGCAGTCCCGAGGAGAGCAGAGCAGAGCCCGTCCCCCCCAGCCCGGGACGCTGGAGTCAGGATCTGCTAAAAAGTGAACTAAACAGGTACAGGAAGGAGAGCTCTTTTCTCGCCCAGGCCAAAATACAGATGCTATGCAAATCATTTCAATATTAACCAATAGCTCCCTTGTCCCTTGTGTCTGTTTTTTTTGTTTTTTGTTTTTAGTGAGTCAAAGAAAAAGACCAGTGGCCCCCTGGATCTCCTGGCTAACGATGTCATTCCAATCAACCCGGAGGCCCGCAGGTGAGAAAGAGACGGGCTCGCGGTGGCCTCTGCTCCCCTTCCTCGCGTACCACTAATACTCATCACTGCAGATGAGGGAGCCGAACGGCCCGGCTCCCCGAGGTGTACGATTTTTAATAAAACTCCATCCGCCAACAAGTTTGATCCATGAATCCGGGCTCCTCTACTCGCAGCGTTCTATTTCAACCCGCGTTCGATAGAAACGCGGTGGCGGATTCCTGAAGCGACCGACGCAACGCGTTGAAGCGGAAAGCCACGTCTTACATCTGCGCCGCAACTGTGAATTGAAGGAAATGTTCTGTACTGATTAGTACTGCTGCCTTTTGTTTTTGTCTACGCCAGGCTCAACGTGCAGCGGAAGGAGGAGAAACGGACGGATGAAACAGCCGGAGACACACAAAGGTAGAAGGAGATGGCAGGCTGCTCTTAAACTATTATCTATCTGTGCAGAGCTGTTCCTGCTCAGAAATGAGTTCCGTCCAGATATGTCTTGGTGATTTATACTAACTCTGCCTGCAACTGTGCTGCGTTCTCCCTTACCCACAGCCTCACGGAGACCGTCACCATAACCACCAAAACTGTGATCATTACTGACAAAAGGTACGAGCACACACACACACACACGCACACACACACACACACACACAGTCTATTCTGTACTATATTAGGATGTTTTTTCCTGCTTGTTAAATTGTTCAGTGGGTTCCAAAGCTCTTCTAATGGACCGGCACTGTAAATAGTGCATGAGAAGAACCACGCTTACCTTCAGTTGGCCTCTTTTCCCTTCCCACGGTGCCATTCATTTGTACCGCTCTCCTCACTGTCTTACTTTCCCATCATCGCGCCCGCATGCAGCCGCGAGGCCAATGCCGATCCATGGAGCTCACACGCGCACACCACGGTGACTGAGTCGAGGTAGTTTATTCGCTGCCGCGTGGCACAGGTGCTGGTGTGTAACGTGTCTGCGTTAAAGCGTGTGCAATAAAGTCTGTCGATGTGTTGAGGAAGGGTTTACTCTGCTGACAATAAATGGAAACGGAAATGTTCTTAAAAATGTGATTCAATTGTCAAGTAGATTCTCATCCCAGATTAAACAGGCAATTAAGTTAATAAAAAATGATTGTTAAGGAAAGGATGCATTGTTTGAAGACAAGGAGAAAACCGATAATGCAGATTTATTCAGTTGTCAGTAATCGTTGTAGACTGAAGACAGGGTTCATTGCGGCTGAAGGAAACTTCTTTTTGCTGCAGAATCGTCTTTCCATTTGTCAAAGACACCCACATTGTGATTTTTTTTTTTTTTTTGATTGCGTTTGGCCTCGGGCTCCTCTGTGTTTCTGTTTACCATTCAAACTGCATTAAATCTTTCCATTATGAGTCAATGTGATCAAAATTCCTCTGACACAAGATGGGCCATGCTGACAATTGAGAGTGAAATCAGTGTGAAATTGTTTTTCAGCTCGGCTGATCCCTTTGATCCATATCCGATAGGGACCACATCCTCTAACAGGTAATCATATTGGTTTGGAGCTTTGACTGTTTTCCAGCCAGCCAGATAGCATCTCGGCATGCATAATGCAGCAGTTCCTGATTATGAGCCACTTTTCTCTATTGCAGCTCCTCTGACCTGCTACAGCCTGAGTCTGATGTTTCCAACAACAGGTACTGGAATGACAATGCAAATGACTATGCAAATTACCCGTTTTCTGCATTGTATTCTTTGTTTGTAATACAGATATGATCATATTGCTACATAATATTAGAACTAGGACAACTGCTTCACTTTGTTGTGATCAACAGCTTTTATGCCAGATAAACTGAGCAGTGTGGTATAATGTAGACTCCACCTTTTGAATAGATATGGGGGTTTCTTTAGTGCATCACTTACTTTCATGCGACCCAAGTCCAGAATCTGAATAGATGGCGCTAATGAAACCTCTCCTCTGTCATCCACCTAACTGTGAAGTGAAGCCTCTCTGAAATTAATAATTATGTTCTTCACCAATTAGCTTTACCAATTCAGTTCAAAAATAGAGAAAAATAAGATAAAAAAGGCCACGGTGCCATTTTCCAATTGGTTATTTTGTCCATGAAAATGTCTTAAGATTTGAGAATTAATTTTCTATTTGACTAATTAATTAATAAACGAACCATAAGCTATAACTCTATTGTGACTTTTTTTAGAGTGTATTTTGGCACATTATGCCTTTCTTATAGAGTTGAGTGATGACAGAAAATGAGCGACGGCAAGCATCAAAGATCCCCAGCCGGGCATCGTGTTCCATAATCAGCCCTTCAAACCCCACGGCACCCAATTTCCTGAAATTCTAATGTTTTACTTCACGTCACTCTCCCCCTTTTTTTTCTTGTGTGTGCGTCTGTTTGACAGTCATGTGTTGGATTCCCATTCAGACCTAATCTCTATCAACACTGACGCCACGAGGTATCAAATAGAGTTTAGTGCATAATTGTGTTAAGAGTGCAGGGAAGTCTGAGCGGTTCTCTCAACGTGCGCACATTACGGCCTCGTATGCCGGTCTGTCATGGCTTCTGCATCCTCTCTGTCTCTCTCTCTCTCCCCCCGGTGGCAGCAGTCAGCGGACATGGGCGCGCACATGGCAAACCAGCCCCCCCCAGCAGGAGAACAACGAAGAGAGGTGAAGAAACGCATCGATTTACTCTTCCGCTTCCACACAATATGCTCCACTATGTTTCACTCATCTACACGCGCACCCATCCGTGTCCATTATGCGCTAAAAGCCTTTCAATGTATTTCCCCTCTCAGCCAAGAAGCTTTACCAGCAGCCCAAATGCTAGATGAAGAGACGCTGGTCAGGTTTGAGAGAAAGTAAGTCATCTTTTCTTTTTTTTTTTTTTAAAGCCCCCCCTGTGTGTATTTGTTGTCTTTTTTCCAACTAGGCTTTTGCGGCTACTCGTTGAGCCGGAAAACATTGTGCACTGGTGCTGATTTTAAAATAGGTCAGACACATATTTGTTACAACGTTTCTTCACAGCTGCGGTAAACGGATCCCCTTGAAGGCTTTTTTTACCATACAAAGACTAAAAATGTGTTATCCTCTCATGCTAATACGGGATGTCTTTGTTTGTGCTCAAGGTCAGCTGAGAATGACTCCCCATGGGACAGGTGGACGTCCCCCACGGTCTATACTCTCCCAGTCACTACAGGAGAAGAGGAGGAGGAGGAGGAGGAGGCGGAAAGGTAAGGTGGCTCCTTGGTGACTGGGCTCATTAAAAGCCATTTAACCACTTTATTTTTCACAATTTCATTACAGCATCTTAAGGCCTGTCGACCATTTAATGAAGATAAATAAGTTGAAACTTCTCCACAGTTCAGTCTGAGAATAATCAACTGGTTTGCAATATTTTGACTTCCTCACCCGTACTGGCAGACTTTTTCATGATGCAGGGTTGTCCTCTGTTTTCCAGCACGGAGTACAAACAGACAGAGACGGTCACAACCATCACCACTATCAGGTTTGAATGATTGATTCATGATGGAAAAACTGTGTAGTTAAGAAGGAAATGACAGCGTGAGAAGCATTTACCATCACAACGCGCGGGGAAGAGACGGGTCGGAATGAGGCATCCTGCAGTAATAGAAAAGACATCACACCCGGTTGATAAATCCAGTTTCTCTACTTTCCAGGGAGAGACTGAGTGAAGAACAGCCTGTTGTGGATCGGTAAGTTCATCATCTTAATGTCAGACACGTGCAAGAATACTTTCCGGTCTGCAGATTTTTTTAAACTTTTGTAAAAGACGGCCTTCTTTCACTGGAGATTCATGTATTTTATTTCAAGCAAGGAATTGCTGCTGCATGTAAATTGAATGTATAGATGAACATAAACCCTCTTTCATGTATTACACCTCCACCCCTTTTTGTCCCCGCGTTTATGAGCAAGGGAGGGAATTTAGCCTGTGTCATCAGAAGACTGCAGTCTGGATCTAATGCTACCTGCAACCCCTGTTATTCCCGATTAAACAGACGCCTGAACATTACTGAAGCTAAATGACAAGATCTGCTCTCCCATTGTCTTTCAATTTGCCCTCATTTCCTTCCCTCTAATTATCATCCTCCAGATGTCAGATTAATGATGTGTATTAGGGATGTCCTTTTGTCACATCGCAGCCCGTTTAACAGCGCCGCATTAACAAGCGATGGCAGAAAGTGATTACCTCCAGAGCAACGTTTGACAGATGCGGAGTCCTCCTGTACAACCCGTCACACTGCGGTTGTCAGTGAGTGAAAGATGGGGCTCACGCTGCTGCACTCTGTCTCCGCAGGTATGAAACCTATTCCAGGAGCGTGACAGAAGAAGACCAGCGTGTCCTAACGCCAGAACCCGAGGCCAAGAGGTGAGCGATGCTAACAGACGACACATTTAAATCAAAGCGACAGCTAATATTTTAGCCGAGCGCATTAACTCAATCTTCCTTTCGACGTGCTCGCGGCTCAAGGGGTTTCGTGTACCTGAAGGAGTACGTCAACGCAACAGAGCTGTCCTTGCACAATGCCAGAGACACACCCGACAGGTAGGACCAGCGCGCGGCGGTTTACACAATCAAATAATAAGATTGTTGCGATTTCAACACTGTTTTTAACAATGATTTACTGACTACTCTTTTTTTTTTTTTTTTTTTGCTACAGTGGGTCAGATTATGTGACATCCAGCTCCACCAGTTACTCCTACAACAGCCCCTCCACCTACTCGAGGTAATACCACAAGTCCTTAAATGCTTAATATACCTGCCGGCAGCTGCTTTCTGGATCTGAAACTAAACATTACTCTTCAGCGCAAACACTTCTGCTTTCGCATTTCCTTTAGTTCCAATAGTTTTATTGTCATTGCCACATCAGCTATTTTCAGCGTGTGCGTTGGGCCAGTTCAACTCCAACTTCTGCTATTTCAAATGATTCATGTGCAAATTCTCAGCAGCGAGAATACAAATGTTGTCTTGAGATGCTTCTTTTTTCCCCTGTATTTTACATTTCTCTTACGCAGCACCTCAACTTACTCCTAACCTGCTTTAAATCAGACTCTAGCCTAAGCCCCGTCTCCCCCCGTCTCCCCCCGTCTCCCCCTGCCGTGTCATTTCCACACAAGCAAGCAGTTAAGCAGAAATACCAACCAGCCAGCTCATTAGGAGGCAAAGCAGGTGTAATAATGAAAGGACTATTTACACTCCGGACAGAAAGGGTCACAGGTCACTCCTGCAGACTGTGCTGCGGTTGTGTGTGAGCTGCTTGAGCCGCAGCCAAAGTTCCTTGTCTCAATCGCTGTGTCTCCCCAGCGGCCTGGCGTCGTCCACCTGTAACTTCTGCGGAGAGCAGGTGGGTAATGATGCCAAGATCACCATCGAGCACCTCAACATCAACTGCCACCCCCGCTGCTTCCAGGTAACCCATCTGTCTGCTCGCATGGGGATGCAATTTGGTATTTATTGGACTATAAGATAAGGATATGGAAGTGAGCTTTTGTTTCCCTGAAGAAACTAGTTTTTACATTTAGATAAATGTGTTCATTTACTTTTTGTAGAGACTCAGATGAAGTCTGGAGAGTCAATGTGATGCTACGGACGGTGGCCAGTTAGATTTAGTAAATGTAAACACTGTTCATTGTTCGAAACCCACCAACAGCTCTCAAACGCCTCATAAAAGTGTTAATATAACATGTTCCTGCCCCCTTTTCCGTCTTTATGCTGAGCTACGCTAATCCGCTTATAACTGTAGCTTCACAAGACAGACATGAGCGCAGTGTTGATCTCATCGGTTTCTTTATTGCAGAGCAGCCAATAAATTAACTTTGCAAAACTATTCGTTCTGATATACTGGTTTTACCTCAATACGTTGTATCTTAAGAGTCTCTGATACAAATTATGTTTAGCTAATGAGTATTGCCAGTGCATGAAGCAGGTTGAACCAGTTCGTTTTTTCGAAAGCTGCAACAGCCATAATTGTGGAGCAGTAAATTAGTAGGAGAGAAATTCAAGGATAAAAACACTGCTCTTCACTCAAACCCATTTGCATTTCCATTCTCCTGATGTTTCAGTGTGGTGTGTGTAAAAAGCCAATGGGAGACCTACTCGACAGCATGTTCCTACACGGCGGGAAAGTCCACTGCGAGAGCTGCTACAGCGAAGCCTTGGACTGATTATCAAATCCCTTCTGCAGCCTCTTCTCCTCGGTCGCTTCCCTTCATGTTCATTTGCATATAAAGTGGAGAACTCACATTTTCCTCGTAGTTTGGATCGTGTCTAGTTTGAACTCAGGAGTTGTGTGCTACAGACTGATCAAAAAGGTTGTTATAGTGATTTAATGGTTAGCGCTCATGTCATGCTAACTCGTATTGTTTGTTTTTTTTCTTCCTGGTGGTGACCGCTATATCTCGCTATGTAAACTTTGAAGGATATGTATTATGAACACACTACTACTACTGGCCAGTGGTGAATAATGATTGAATTTAGCCACAGTTGCAAATAAATGACTTTATTAAAAAGTGTTCCTCTTGATACAAAAGTGTGTTCACATGACTGTTTTGTTGAAAAAAATAAAAATGATTTATACAAAGCCGCTAGAAAAATGTGATGCAAAGTCACGTCACACAGGACTGTCACCGAGTCTCAAGCAGTCACGTGTTCTCGAAAAGCATTATTAAAACTATTCCACATAAATATCTCATAAAATAGCATCGTGTAACAAAGCTATTGGGGCGAAGTTGTTAAGTAACAGCAAAAGAAATTCCTTAGATGAGCTGTTCCTGAGTTCTATTTTGTAAAAGCAGTCGTGAATTCCCATAAGACCGATGTGCTTAACTTTACATTTGCCTTTCTTCCCACCTCTATGAAACAATACTTTCCTGGCATAGACATTTAAAATAACTGTGTACATAACTGACTTTAGCTAACAACCATCAGCTTCCTGCGGAGTGCCTGAAGAAGCTAATCGGGTTTGCTACTGGTTTGATGGGGTTCACACACAGTTGGGCACAGCTCCCTTGGCTCCGCCCCAGTTCAACAAAAATCCCCCTCCGGTGAGAATGTGCCTCTGTGGAACAATTGCACTGCAAGCAGTTAATGTTAACAATGTGAGGCGCCGTAAGGGCAATGATGGCACCTCAGTTTTAGCAATGAAAATACTACAGAACATTATCTTCCCATTACCAAACATGGGAGAAAGGACAAACGAATCATGTGAGCTAAAATCTATTCTAGCAGAACTCGATCGTTCATAAGGGTAAAGACGTTTTGTGAAAACGTGTCAGTGATTTCTGCTTCAATTTCTAATTCAAACAGAGGGCTCATAATATGGGACACCTCTGCAATCCTGGATGCGCTCCAGCCTCCCGTTTGTTTTGGAGGTCTGTGTCAGTGTTTCCCCCTGGCTCTGCTCACAGCCATGTTTTGGATGTGCTTCCACAGCAGCGAAGGGTCCGACTCGTTAAGTCTTATCAAAGACTCCAGCCCCTCTGCTTGGTCCAGGCTCTGCCAGTAATCCTGAGGCCATATTTGCAACCATCTGCAGACAGATACACCCACAGATTAGACTCGTCACAGAGGATATTTTTTAATTAGCCCATTAAAATAGACTCTCTCTCTCTCTCTCTCTCTCTCTCCCCCCCTCGGGACGTTGTTATTCACATTAAAGTGCAGAAAGTACCAGGCTTTCACACCTGGCATAGTGAATCATCTTAGACAAACTCACCCGTCGTCTGCAGGTAGGTCTTTGACGTGTCCGTACCCCGGGCTGGGCAGCGGGCACCCCATGTGAGAGTTGTTGGCCATCTTAGACTGAGGCGGCCGGTTCGTTTTAGGGGCTTTCCTGTTGGCTCGTTCTGCCGCCAGTCGCGCATTCTCCCGGTCGCACACGTAACATTCAAATCCATTCAGGTAATTGGGTTTACTCATGTCATTAACCCCCCACTCGCGGGTCTCCAGAGCCTCCAACAAACGGTGGTTAGTGATGCGGCTGGGGTTTTTGAACTCTAAATATTTAGCATACTCTTCATCGTCCTCATCAAGGTGTTTGAGGAATTCAGCCAGAGCTTTCGGGGAGGCAAAGTCATCCACGAGGATGGCGGAGCGGTCGTTGGGCATCCAGTCCGCCGCCACTGGGGAGCCGCGATAGACAGGCACACAGCCCTGATGGAGAGGCCGCCACAGCTTCTCCGTCATGTAATCAGGACACAGGCCGTTCTCCATCGCCAGGTGAAACTTGTAGCGTGCGACAAAATTCATGAAGCCGGCTTCTTCGCCGGTAGCCGTGGCGGTGTCCTCCAGATGGACGGGCAGAGGTTTGTTATTCAGGCATTTCCCATAAGAGTCCACCTATGGAGAGAAATATAATGAGTGAGAAAGGAGAGAGTTAGGGACCATCCTCTGGATATTTGTGGTTTAATGGTATAAATAAAATAAAAAGCTTCATTAGACATTACTAATTATAATTCCTCGCTGGGGATTTGGACAAAGAATCCTTTTGACCTCTTGACCGGTGTGCACAAGTGTGTGTGCAAATGGAAATAAGGAGGACTAAACGGCTACATATTTTCAGTGTGATCCAGATGGTGTTTATTGCAAAGAACGGCTTAGGCAAGGTCAAAGATTGGAGACATTACTGGAAATGGCATTCAACGATAAGCAGAAATGTGTTCTGACTTTTTTACACAACAGGGACAAAACAAGACAAAAAGTATTCTAATGGAGGACAAATGCTGGAGGATGAGGAAATTTTTTTTAAATAATTTAACAAACTTTACTTTAGTACCATTGCTATTTTTTTATGATGAAATAACCGATACCCGAGACCAAGGAGACGTGCCTACGGACTATTCCATTTACAGCAATGTGAAAACATTTTACAGGAATCCTAAAAAACGATGTCCTAAACTGGAAGAAGCTTTACACCTCAAGCATGGATCTTGGTCAAAAGCATCTTTGTGTTGTACCTGAATATACTTCATGAGCTCCTGAACGTATCTGTTTCTGTCAGATGGTACATCGCAGTGGGACTGCATGTAGAGCACCGGACCCAGGCCCTTCCTCCTCAGCCGGTTCTTCTCCTCCAGGGACACGACCACAGGCCCCAGCAGGTAATCCAGCGAAGGCAGCCACTGCAGGGTCAGAGGATAGTCGGACTCCCTGCGAAACGTGGCGGTGTAGTTGAACAGCCTGATCCCCGGTCCATGGGAGAGGATGTAGTTATTCATGGGCGACTCCTCGTGGAACAGGGCCCAGGTCTGGTGGCGGAGACGAGGGAGTGGCGCCTCATACGCCCGGAAGTCTGTTCCGTAAAAGATGATGGATGTGGTCCGTTTGTACAGCTGGACCTTTCAAGATCAAACTCAGGATTACTGGCAGTCGGAAAACAACTTGACATAGTGATTATTATCAGTGTGAGCGAGCATCTGCTCTCTGTCTGAGCCAAGAGTTTCATTAAAAAACACTTCTCGAGGTTCATTCGTCTTCGGTACCTTGCGGTTGCTCGTGACCAGGCAGGACGATGTGGCACAGTCGATGCGTTCAGAGTCCCCGGGGAAATGTGGGAACAGACCTCCGCTCCACCACAGGAGGATGGGCAGCTCCTTGTTGTTGCGGCGGTCATTGTTGCCAGGTCCTCTGTATGGACCGACGGAGGCAAACTCCATCTCTGACAGAGCACTCTGGGGCTGAAAGGCCCCCCGGTCCAGTGCATCCGGTGCCCCCGGAGGAAGTTGGTCATCTGTAAAGGAGGCGAAAGAGACCCAGACCCAGCAAAGGACACCGAACAGCCCCAGACATGCACAGGGCACGAGCCTGCCCCTACCCGCCATCTACAGGGTGGACAAAAAGAGAAGAGAGAACAACACACAATACAGAGCTTACAAGTAGGTCACCCCTTTAGAACAGATCAATCAGCTGGTTTATGCCATAGGCGTGATTTAGCCTCGTTAGTACTCCCACGCTTTGTTTTGGCGCTCATCGTAAGGCACATTAAAGTATGGATGTTAGTTTTTTCTCCTCGCAGCTGAAGTTTGTAGACAAAAATCGGCGATGTTGACCAACATTTAATCATACGTGTCAGTGGTGTATCTACAGAACTAACGTTAATATCGAAGCATATTACACTGTTTCCTACCATTACCGCTGCAGCAAACACATGAAGGTGAGCTATTCTTGAGTCTTCTCACTGAAAACATACAGTTGTTGTCCTGTTGAGGGGCAGTGATGACAAAGTGATGCTCTGTTGAGCCAACGGCACAGAGGGAATCAAAACAGCCGGATTCTTCTTCTACGTATAGCTTTTTGTCTTTCTTCTTCTTCGGGTAACGAGCCAACCAACTCTACCCAGCGCCACCTGCAGCTCTGAGGTGTGTACTGCACGCTGCATAAAACCAAAAATATGCTGATTGTAAAGGTTCTGACGATTCTGGTATACGTATAATACCAATAGAGGCACATTATATATATATATATATATATATATATATATATATATATATATATATATATATATATATATATATATATAATGTGCCTCTATATATATATATTCATGTAATTCCTTAATTTGAACTACATATTGTGAATTATATGATTTGAAAGTGGTTAACCTAATTGTGGTTAACTTAATTTCATAAAAAGGTGTAATCATTTTTCTAAATGGTTAAACATTTAAATTGTATGTCTTTACTAGTCTAACAGTTGTGTAAAAAAAATCACTCTGCTTTAAACATATGTGGGGATCTTACTTAAGTTAAAGTAGAGAGGTATTACGATCAAAATGTGCCTCGAGTACCTCAAGTAATAGCAGGCTACTTGTTATTTTCCCCTGTTAGAGTTGCACACTATTATCATAAATTGTTTAGGTAGACGTAATCCATACACTTTGGTGGTTTAGTCAATACATCCTATTTTATTATTTATATGTATATGTAGATTTTACACACATCTTAGTGACAGCTGCACATAAATGCAGCAGAGAAAAAGTAAAATATTCCCCTAGGGTAGTGCAGTAAGTATAACTTGGTACAGAACAGAAAAATGCTGAAAATCGTTCAGCCAGTAGAGGAACCAGGCCTCAAAAGTGACACTTTGATTTATACAAAACTACAGAAACGGTTTTTTTAGGACGTGCACGTGCACCTCCCCGTTGTTGGCGGCGCGCACGTCACGACACCAAAACCTCAGTCAGCTGCAGGGACGAGCCGCGCGCGACACACCGTTAGGACAAGGGTGAGTACACATACATCTTTAACAAAAAAATCTATTTGTTATGACATTGACTCTAATGATAGATACGTCACCTCTTTGCAACATGTATTCGTAGGCTGCTTTAGATTCAGTGGCGAGAGCTGGCGGGTCGCCGGCCCGGGATGGAATGTCAACAAGCCGAGCAGCCGGCTAGCTTGTCGGCTGGATGCTCGCGGCGCTGCGCTGTTACTCTCGGGTGCGTTGAGGTTTTAGGAAAGCCTCGTTCTCGTTTCGGTTTTCGGTTCCTCGTTAACTTCACAGTTTCGCAGAGGAGCCTCGGCGAAGCCGCTAAAATCAGAGCTTTGGAGGATGCGGTTCACAGCAAACATGTCGAGTTGCATCTTTTTGATCTGCGCATGTGCAGTGGCCGCAGTCAGCTGAGGATCCCGACTCGCCCCACTAGTTATGGCGTAGGAAGAAAAGGAGAAAAACCCAAACTAGGACAAAAACCTAGAAGATTCTGCACCATTGGGTTCATTTCATGCGTGTGTATCCTATCAGTAGTCAGTAATAGTTTGTCGTTAAAGAACAACAAGACAAGCAAACAGAGACCTTTTGGCAGACACCTCGGTCCTTCACCCCTGTTGTTGTGTCCCTGAAACTAGTCAACCATTAGAAATCTCCCTTTCATGTGTTGTCTGTAAGACTGATGGTTCAATACAGATGTTGCTACAACGTCAGCCATTTCCCTCAGTTATCTACACCGAATAACCAACAAAACCGAGCTCCATAGACTGCTCTGGGTGTTCAAGTTTAACTCCCTTTTGTTAATATTGATTTCTATTTTGAATGTTTTTTTTCAGGCTAAATTGACCCTGGTCTGCCACCTGGTGTGGCGGCCCTGCTGGGTTGGAAGCATGATGGGTGGGAAGAGCCTCCTCCTGAAGGTGATCCTGCTGGGGGACGGCGGAGTGGGCAAGTCCTCGCTGATGAACCGCTACGTCACGGACCGCTTCGACTCCCAGTCCTTTCACACCATCGGAGTGGAGTTCCTGAACAGGGACCTGGAGGTCGACGGACGCCTGGTCACTCTTCAGATCTGGGACACCGCCGGCCAGGAGCGCTTCAAATCCCTGCGGACGCCGTTTTACCGAGGCGCCGACTGCTGCCTGCTCACGTTCGCTGTCAACGACCTGCAGAGCTTCCAGAACCTTGGCTGCTGGAAGAAGGAGTTCATGTACTACTCTGACGTTAAAGACCCCGAGCGCTTCCCTTTCGTGGTGCTGGGTAACAAGGTAGACGTGGAGCAGAGGGAGGTTGGCGAGGACGAAGCACGGGCCTGGTGTGAAGAGAACAGCTGCTGCCCGTACTTTGAGACCAGCGCCAAGGATGACACTAACGTCGCGGCTGCGTTCGAGGCAGCTGTCAGGGAGGTTCTGGCTGCCGAGGACCAGATTGACCACGCGCTGCTGAGCAGTACTATTGATCTCCATGGCAACCGCAGAGCCTCTCGTGGGTCTTGCTGCTGATCGGGCAGGTGTGAATCCACCTCATCTAAATCTCTCCGGCTGAAACTCGCCCATGGCCGTCTCTGAGGACTGGGCGGTATTGTCAATGGTGAGCCTACTGTAGGCGCACGGTACGGTGCACCTAATGCGGAGGGACGTGTCTTGGTCTCCGCTGGAATCAAGGTGGTTTAATTGTTGCTCTAACCAAGGTACGGGCTTAAAGTACAGGCACAATGCAACAGGCACACGCTTCCTTTGTACTCTTATCTGCTTTCAATGGTGTGTTGCATAAAACACATTTTATCCCTGCTTCAGCTTGGTCTGCCTCTGCAGGAGGAGGAGTAGTGCTATTTTTTAAATGATATAACAAATATGTCGGGTAGGGCAGCTGCCGGGAGAGTATTCCACTCCTCTCTCGAAGAACACATTCTGCCTTTTTGACAAAGCGGCACACGGTCAGACGTGCGTCCATAAGCTGATTTTTCCTGGGATTTTAGAGGGACTTTGAATACAACATCATATTTTCCCGTTCTCAGTGCTTTCGCTGGAGAGCTTAATGTATTTTCTAGACACGGATAAGGTCTGTGAGTGACAGGCTTCCCGACCCAGGCAGATGTTAAGCACGAGAACTCCCAACATCAGCACGAGGACCAATATCGTTCAAGGTACGAGGAATTTAGAATGAAGCAGGATGAACCTCTTTGTCTTCAATCGGACAGGAACTGTGAGCTTAATGTCAGCCCTTTTGTGGTGCCCTTGTTCATTCGTCTAATAGATGTATATTATGGCAGCACTATTGTGTAGCCGGAGGTGTCAGGTGTACGAGTTTGGCATTATCAGATTATTTCCAATGATCCATGTACGTGGGCCTGTTACTACGGTTCAGTGTTTCTCAAAGTTCAAAAATAGGTACTGCTTTTGCTGCTGCTGACAAACTGCTGTTTATTTTTCCGCGAAGCGCATTTTGATCCCGAGTCGTGACCATTTTACTGATGTATAGAGGTGGTTGTCATCATTTTCCAAAATGATCAATCGTTTCAGTAATATTGGCATGTTTGTAATCCTGCGACTGCTTTGTTGATTGCAAGGGCCCAACATTCCAGTCATAGTCGAAGGTCTCCGGTGCTTTGCTGGTAGCGTCACATACAGCCGTGCCGTCCGTCTGGTTATTCTGGTTCTGCGCTGAATGTGAAACAACCGGAGCGCCGTGCTAATGTCATCACCTCTCCCGTCCATTCATAAAGTATTTAGTTAAACATACATTTAGGTTTTCTGACACTTAAACAATGTTTACTTGTTTTCACCTTGGTGAGACTTTACTTTCATTTCATTGTGTTTACATAAAGGCTTCCTTTGGTTTTACTGCCAGGGATATAAAGGGTATTTTTTGTGATATAATAATATGCTGGTATTCAATGCGTCAACCTTAAGTTTTTAATTCATTCTCAGTATTTGGATTGCGGCTGGAATAGTGTTTATTTATTGAATCTACTCAAGCATTCAAACTGCTCGTGTTTTGTTTGGTATTTCAAGTCAGAAATGGCCTCACATTTCATTGTGTGCAAAATAATGGGGAACGTTACAAGAGCTTCACTGTGAAAGCAAACCAAATCTAATCGAGTACTGTCACAAGAAGGTTCTTTGCTTTATTGTAAGCTTATAATAAAAGACTTGTTCATGAGATTAGTGTAGGTGTTGAGTACTTCCCACAGCAGGATGAGAGAAACTTAATTAACTGTGAACCGAGTGGGCATTTGAACTAAATCAGGCTGGAAGCCCACATTCAAAGCAGAAGTGACGACCGTTAGCTTATCATGTCTTCTGTGTTCATTTCTTCTGGCTTAAACGGATTGTTTTGTCTCGTTACCCTTTAAAAATGTAGCATTTCTCACTGTTTACCTTAGAACCAGTGGGTGCATGGTAGCATAACCTCAAGATGCTGTCTTACATCAGATGATTTTATGTTGCTGTAATATTTATGAATGTAAAAGATCATTTCTTTGGGCTGTCAATGGTTGATGTAAATTGCAAGGGCATTGGCTTTACAACTATGTGCAAAATGACACTGAACATCTGCCCCACTGATGTGTGAAAGTTACACTGTTCATCTCCATCATGTGTTGGTCTATTCGGGGAGACTTCCATCGCTCTCTTTCTGCACTCGGCGGGATACGGATGGTTGTGCCAATGTGCTGGCAAAGCCGTGAATACTCTCCGGTGCTTGGCTACAAATAAAACATGCAACATACCAAATGGAGAAACCATCGTTTTGGAAATTCATGAATGTGTGCCTTTATGAAATATTTTTTAAAGTTTTAAAAACAAGAGCTCTTACACGTTTTAAAAAACTGAAATAGGTGACTCAGCTCTCCGGCGTACAGCAGTCATTTTACCATTAGTGAACAAACCCTACAACAATTTGTGGAAATAAGCAGCAGTGTTGAATTTTGATCCCAAAACTCACCTTGTTTAGATTTCATCCCACAAAACCCTCAATTACCAAGAATGTGTTAGAAGCCGGGAGACAGTGAACACTGTTTATTTCCTCTTCGTTAAAAAGGAAACCAAACATGCACCGAGTACTGTAAAAATCATGTCTTCCTTTCAAACTAAATGTTTGATTTAAGAAAATATAAAGAATAACTAACATTACAGGAAATAAGCACATGTTAAGACTCCCTATATTTTACAACGCCAGATATGAACACAGGAAAGCTAATGTAGTGAAAGCTTCAAAATAATGAAGGGAATCAATTAACCAAATAATCGAGATATACAAAACCGCTTAATCTTGCTGGTCATCATGAGGCTGCTGCAGCCAAACTGAAAAAAAAGAATCTCCGTCAGCAGACGTCGGATGTGTTTGCCGGGTACGGAGAGCACAAAGTCCTGCTGTTCCTCTGCACGGCCCCATACAGGTCGTAGCCTCGCCTCTCCTTTTCCATGTGTCCCAGCCTCCTCAGGTACAACTGGTTCACAGCCAAGTGCAGGGAACAGTGCACCTGTGGACACCAGAGGTGAGAACACAAAAACACATTGGCCCCTGGATATGGCAGAAAGCCAGGGACGGTGCTCCAGTCAAACCCTGACACAGAACTTTCCCTCAGACTATGAACAAAGGTTCACGGGAGGCGCCGCGCAAACATTTGAAAGAATATTCTTTTTATTGTCAAATTTGATAAACACACAAAAAAAGAATGTCCAGGTGCCATTTGACAAATATACCACTCACAGCTGGTAAAGTTTACACCAAATGAAATAATCTACATAGAACGCGGCTTAGTAATGCCGAAAAGAAAAAAGAATTAGTAAATTCAGCTACAGTAAGTAAAAATATTTGTTATACAATAACTACGACAAAATTCCCAAAGGATTAGATAAAAAAAACAAATACAAAAGGTGTCCTAGCTCTATAAAAGTACCTCCGTCAGCCACACTGCAATGTTTTTTTAAGTCTAATAGAAGGTCACTCGACAAGTTAGCACCCAGTGCTTTTGCCATCTCAAAATTATGAGACACTATTTCAGACCTTTCTCTAGATCAAAACGAAACAAGCATGTCCCTTTGTCAGAAAGGAACAACTTAACATCTAAAATTCCTTCAGTCCCCTCACTCGGAATCCATCACTTCCATTATTGGGGGGGGGGGGGTCATGCAACAGCATGTGGATGGTATTGTGCGTCGCTGTTGTCCCGTAAGAGCCGCCCCTGAGACTTGAGTGGTCCTTTTGTCAGGAGGACCCTCCCCCCCTGACATGCAAGATAACCCTTGGGGAAGGCTGGTAGCGCAGGTGGCCCCCACAGCTGGCTCCTTATTGGCTAGCTTTTCGAGCAGAGATGACTCATTGTTGAGGCTTTTCTCCAGCGCGTGAGAAAAGTCCCGAGGTCAGCGCGAGACTGCAAATGCATGCTTTCGCTGCCACTGTGGCAACCAGATGTGAAGGACGGTAGCCATGGTAACCTATAATCCCACTGCAACAGCTGCATTCTAGAAGCACATATTCAGTTATTTCTTCTTATATGTTAATTAATTAGTGAGGTTAGTGATTTTTGTATTTTTGAATGCAACTGGAAGCAGAAATTAATTTCAGGACACTAGTCTAAATTATATTTTACAAATATATTTTGGTGACACGGCATTGGAAAACAAGACTTACTGCACGTAAAAGCAGTACACAACCCCCCCCCCCCCACACACACACACACACGCAACAAATAAAAAATAAAAAAATCCCAAAAATTTAAAATATAAAAAGGACATTATTTTTAGGAGTCCGTGACCACAAGTGGTTCTGTGCAGATGATGTGGAAGAGAGAATTGTTGCCGTCGCCACGTTGGTGGTGGAGTAGTGATGGCCGACAGCCAGGAAGCCGGGCAGCCTAACACCGTGCACCTAAGCCCTTTCTTCCCAGATACCGAAGCACCGCAAAGTTATAGGTGGTTGACACAGTATAGGTCAGCTATGGAAGGACAAGCACAGACAGGACACGTCAGAGCAGAATGACAGAGAATACAAATATGACACAGTCAGAAACTCTAGCTATAAGAAAGAAATATGATTAACTGCTAATGGCATTAATTTGATGGCAGTAGCAAATCCGTATAAAAGCGTCTGTAATGGAGCATGCGGGGGTAATGGGTGTCCCATTTGCCGGGCTGCAAAACCACCAGACATTACGGCACTATTACGATGTTTGTGTCAGCTGAGAGGGGCGAACAGAGGGCCAATAGTATAAAAGTCATCAGTCATGGAGGTTTGAGATGCCTGGCCGCCTCCACTCTGGGCGTCACGGAGTCACATAAGCCAGAACACCATTGTGCTCCACTGTGGAGAAGCCAAATTAGCCCCATCTGAAGAACGATCACTCACCAGAGCCAAGAGAGTGATGCCCGCGCCGGCAAAGGCTGCAATGTAGAGGTCATAGGTCGTTTGGTACTGGAAGGAGATTTGGGGGATTTGCATTAGTGCATGCATCATTTCATGCCAGTCAAACTGCAGAACGTGAGTGAAGAGCGTCAATCATTTTCTGGTTCTTACTTCTCTCGTCTTGCAAATCGTGGAGAGAGTCATACCACAAGCTTTCCCTGGCACTGCATTCCATGGCAGGAGCCCTGTTCAGAATTCAATGTCAAATTCAACTCGCTTAAAAACTGAGAATTTAAAAAAATCACATGTGAATAGATTAAAACCATCAATGTGTTAAAAAGTTTGCAATAGTAATTAACTGTCCTACTTTGTTGCATTTTTAATTGAAGATTTATATTTTTATCCAACACATGTACAAAAAAGAGCAGTAGTTTATCCAAATGAGAGATTTGAGAGACAGTGCAGTTGTTGTAAATACTTTTAGCTGCAAATGAATACAAATTTGATGAGGCATTGAATATTATGACTACAGTGAATGTGGGATAGACTCCATAAATGCGTACTCATTTCCATGGTCATGAAAGAACATGTCACACGGTGCAACAGTGTTGCTCATTGTGCGGCAAATGGGTTATTGTTGAAATTCAAGGAGCTCTAGAGACCTCAATGTTGCTCGGGCCCACCATTTTAGTCCAGACTGAAAGATCAACAACTATTGTCTGGATTGCTACCAGTTTCGTATTAACAGAGATTCATGGGGCCCAGAAGACAAACCCTATTCAACTCCTTTGTTCTTCTTAGCATCTCTTCAGCTAGTGGATGGATTACGTTTGACCAATATCCTGGTCCAAGTTTAGACCAAATATCTGCTAAACTAGTGACATTCACACAATCAGTTTTAGTTTTTACTTTGTGTTAACCATTATCATTCATACCAACACGGTATTTAGCATCCTCGCCTAAGCACAGCTTCACAGAGACACTGGCACGCCTGAAGGCGTTTGGTCTTTTTGGACATCAATGGCGTCACGTGACATGGAAGAAAACGCTGTGGCTACACAGTCCGTTGGTAGAAACAATTCGTGGTTGGTCTTTGCAGGGGATTTGTTGATCATGTCTCTTACTGTACTGCCTTGCGTCGACACAGAGCTGGTTGATACTCGCTGGCGTCTCAGTCAGAACATCGATGGTGTGGCAGGTGGCGTCCATGTTGTAGAAGAAGTAGACTGGCAGCGCCGAGAATGCAAACACCAACAGCCACAGCACAGCTAGTACATATGTCAACACAATAAACTGTGAGGAAAGAGCAGAATACGCATTAGCATGCATCATCATCATCAACTGATGCGCATAATTGGAGTGTTTCCATGAGCAGTGACTTCAGAATAGTTCTTTTTTTTTAATCTCACTCAGTCCTCTTCCTCAAACCACTCAGCCCTCCTCCCGACCGCTCAAACACACACTGCATGCTTATCTTTGCATGTCCCCAAAGGTTTTTTAGCAACCTTAAGATTTTCCACTCAGCCCCCACCAGGGAATGATATGTGCATTAATCCCGTCCAATCCCTTTCACTTGTCCCGCTCTAGGCCCTCTCACCGAGGAACTGAGGCAGCGGCCACACATGGTGCTCCTGAACTCTCCAAAGGTTTGCTTGGCAGCGTTTGTGGTGTAGAAGCCTTCAGCCAACAGCACGATGCAGTAGAGGAAGAAGAAGGACGCCAAACCATAGATGACATACTGGAAATACTGGATGCTGAGGAAAACATAAAATTCAGAGTAACAAAGAAGCTAAATATTTTAAAAAAGAACCTGGAAAATCCCATGACAAGGGGGAAAAAAAAGGTGTTTCCCCAATGATGGAAATGCTTAAATTTAACCCTCACATGTAGGCGAGGGTGATGTAGTCCTGGAGGTTACGGGCAAAGTAATTCTCGATCAGTCTCTCCGTCTCTGTGAGCGCCTGGTGCCCACAACCGCAGAAGAGGGCGATGCCAGAGAAACACAGCAGCGTGGCGACCAGCGAGCAGTACGGCACCCCAGCCAAACAGCGCATACAGCAGTCATAGCAACCTGATAGTCAAGACACAGCAGCGCGACAGTCAGGCACACAATTAACTGATGCATTACTGCGGGGGGGCGGGGATTCGATGGTACCGAGAGTCCTAGAATACAAAAGAAAGAAGTCGTACATATGGGAGTTCATGAGAAGGAACCCGGACTGCAGAATCTCTCGTTCATTAAGGGCAGTAACAAAAGACATGTGGTCAACAATAGAATGGTCAAACATAGTGTGTTCCCCCACTCATCTCCTTCCTTTTGTCAAAGAAGAGGCCATGTAAATCGATCCAAATGCGGTAATCAACTTTAGAGACGTCCCTCACCATCTCGGACTTTAATCATCTTGTTGGAGACGGGTTGTCCTTTAGTCTCATCACAACAGAATAAAGGGTCTGGGAGGACAAGTCTCGCAGTTGCCAGATAGTTTGGGACTTTGAAAGAGTTTTTCAAGATAATTTATATAAAATTGGATTAATCGGTTTATTTAGTCTAGAAATATATATATATATATATATATATATTTATTTTCCAGGGATATATGCATGATATTAAAAACCACTTTTTGGCGATTCATTTTCTGTTGATCCACCAATCAATTATTCAATACATTGTTCTGTTCTGCTGAATGATTCACAGAAATCTCTGTAAACATGTTTCTTTGGGGGCAGAAGGAAAGCACAATGAGTTGAATCATCCAGAGGAGCTCTGTCATTTTTAATGGTGGGAGCGCCACACGAAATCCATTGAACTAGAGATCTTCATTGTGGATACCCCAAAACCGAGGCCACCTAAACCCAAAACTTTCTCCATACCCAAATAACAACTATAGCAGCGAGCAAGATTTCACTTAAAATCTGAATTGACATAATGTGAACGGCGCCGCAGATGTTAACACTTTGCTTCCCGTGGCAAAGCAGTGCATTCTCCTCGACAGTCGTGTGCCTGTTCAATGGATGCCAGAGGAACAAGGGCATGGGGATGTGCCTGCCCTGACCCAGCGCACGCCCTGACTCCATTCACTACCCACCATGGAGAGTGTGAGAAAAAGGGGGAGGACGGAGAGGAGAAACAATGTGAAAGAGAGCGAGAGAAGCAGCTTTTGTGACTGCGGAGACAACGGCCTTTGTCCCACGGCATCATCGGGGTACAAGGGCCACCAATGTCATGCAGACAAAAGGCTGGAGGCACCGCTGTGCTGGACACACCAATGCACACTCTCGTGGACTTCCTCCTGGGAAGGCACAGGAACAAGAAAGCGATAGTGGGGAGCTGTATGTGCTTGAAGAGGATGGAAAAAGGGCCGCTATAAACCAACAATGCAACTGTGTGCCATTACACACTTCCATGCGTGCATCCACACAGACGCGCACTGTGGAGGCAGACTGACTGTGTGTTGGTACCATTACAGTAAACACAGATGGCAGAAGGGGTAAATAGATATATTTAACTGACTGTATGTGAGAGACAAACTTTACACTGGTATGGAGGAGGGGACTGTACGGATTCAATGGGGAAAAAAACAGCAAATAAGACACTTTTTTTTTTGTGGCATTGGGAAGGAAGTAAATTAAAAGTCAAAGTACCCTGGTTAGAACCGCCTGGCCTACAAGTAAGCAACATTATCACGCATGAGACACTTTGTGCCAATTAATAAATGTATGACTTTTACCAGCACGAAGCAAAGAGCTAAAAAGCCTATGAGCCAAAGCTGCGCAGTCTGTGACTCAAAACAGGCCTCATTCTGCTAGAAAATGCAAAGCTGAAGCAAAGTCCGGTTCTTTAAAATTCGAGAAAGATTGCGAACGAGAGTAAATGTGACAAGGCTCCTCTGAAAGTAGCCCTGCCATCTCAAGCACGAAACAAATCCCACTATCAAGGGAGCATCAGCCGGTGAGTAGCCGACCTCTAAACTGACAAAAACAAAACGAAACAAAAAACAACCTAATAACTTCTGGTGCCCTTTCATACATCAACGTGCAATCACACGAAATAAAATACACATCCAGGCCAAATAAGTGGCTGCGGTGTCTTACCCATGTCTGGAAGGATGCGTTCAGGTCCTGTCGGCTTCTGCTGCCTGCACCGCAGCTGGTCCGCTGATGATATATGCGCAACTGGTCTCCGGCCCCCGTATATCGACTTCAACTTGCTTTCTGTCCCCCCCCCAAACAATGGACAGACCCGCGGAAGACTGCGAGTGCGATCTTAAAGAAACAATGTCGCTTTTCAATGAACTTCGAGGCGCAGAATAATGAGGAGGTCAAGGCTCTCGCGCTTGCTGAAATGTCCTCAGCTCATTGTTGACGCACATCTGCGCACAGCGAGACCAACCTCTAGCTTTAAATGAAAATACAGAGGGTACGTTTTAATTTATTTTTGTCTTCATATCAACAACTCTTGTCCTCCTCTGTTAGTTGGCCATGCCAATTTTTATGGCGTTTAAGTCCCTTTGTTCTCCAAGGCCTTCTGCTTTAAAAGCCCACGTGTTCACGCTGTTTAATGGAACTTAATGGGAAACAGCTGATGGATTTCGCAGATGCTCTGTGGTGAATTACACTGCATGACTGTGGTCAGTGAAGACGATCCCTCTGAAGTTACACGATCGATGTGAGCCTGTGGACACTCAGGTGATGCTCTCCAGGCTTCGGAAATTGTCAGATACTATCTGTGTTACTGCAGTGTTTGAGATACAGAAGTGAACATAAGAAAATCCCAGCTGGCAATGCTGATACGAGCTTTGTCATTTATCTCTTAAATGGGTCTATTTAGTCGGGGGATGTTCTTTTTTTTTAGTTTAAAGTGGCATTCACAAACCATGAATATGTGGATTAATCAAGTGTGATAAAGCCCTTTAAACCCTGAGGGCAAAGAGGGATATTTCATCATCGTCACTACAAAAGAGTTTCTCTGATAAGAAAAACATCACTGCTATTTTAATTAAGCTGAATTGTTATGTCATATGCGTGTTTAAAAAATCAGGGAAATAATCCACAGGTATTTGGGTCGACGTTCTTTGTCCATGTCAGCCGATGCAAACCCCATAACCCACTATCAAATGTTCCACTTTAGGCAAGAATTTGATTAGGATGAGATGTGCTTTGAGCAGAGCAGAGAAGCATCACTAATCTCAGGTGACCTGACTGTTGCGGAGTGAGAGACTGTCCTCTGAATCATCGCTACACCCTCTGGTACATTACCAGAAATACAAAACCGGATTTGGCTTCATCTCTGCCCAGCAGATGGCAGGCTTTCTCTTGCCAAAGCTTTTCTACAGTTACAGACACACAAGTTATATCCCACAATACTGTTTCTTTTTTTTTAGAAAGCCAGCTGTGTGAAAACGCATGTTTAAACATGATAGTCTTTTAGGATATTAGATATTTTTAATTATGTCAACGTATTTTTTAAACGACAGTTTCATACTAATTGGTACATGTTTTGAATCCAATATGATTTAAAATTTTCTTCAAATCTTTGGTGAAAATGCCTCTTCAATTTGTTATATGACCAGTTATATCTAATTTAATGCAGTTAGTGTCACACAACAACCCTATTAGAGTAGTCATTTTTTACCTGCTACGTCAGACAGAGAAGCACCATGCTTAACCTACTAACCAGCTCGTCGTACATTGTGTTTTATAGGCTTTGACTCGCAGCTTTCTTCCACAGCAGTGTCTTAAAAGGAACACTCAATAATTTGCATGATAAAGTTAAAAAACACATTTTATTTTGGTAAAAGCTAGAACAATTATCCCCCCTCCCACCCGTTGCATAACTGTGTTCACAGGTTTGTAAACACAGGCTCATTCATATTTCATGCTTCACTTAACCTGGTTTTGATATCTCAATTGTTCCCCAGCACACACAGTTATACACGGAAGCACCTGCCTTTTGTAATTAGTTCTTTCAACACAGTTTGATTTCACTCCAAACAGCTGACATCAAAACCACAAGCTGGTTGAGTTACTGGGTGCAGTACAGTATGTTTTTCCTTTTTTTCCCCCTTCCTCTGCCTTTTGGTTGCGATCCAGCGCTGTCGGTGGGAAGCAGCGCTATCGGGTAACAGGTGTGAGACAGAGACTTGAGACGGTGGTGTGCCTTCCCTCTCCCGCCTCTCACCTGTCCACAGCTGTGCTCCGCCTCTTAGTCTCCTAGCAGCCCCTCGAGAGACTTTCCTCACCTCCCCAGTGGAGGGACATTAAACCCTTTTGTGTGTCTAAATGCCCTAGACTCCCCATCCCTCCTAGAAAGATGCAATCAACTTAGGCGACCATTACCTAATTCTTCTTGTCACCGCAGGGGTCATGGAGAATAGTCCCTGATGATAATTTTAACAATGCCTCACTGTGACGTGCTCCATCATATGAAGACTACACTTTACGCATCAAATGTCCAACTGCAGTCTTCTACATTTGTCTGAGAGTATTTGATGGAAACTTTCAATACTGCACTGGGACTGTAGATCACATTTTTATATGCTTTCCAGGGGGCTTATCGGAAGACAGATCAACTTTGTCTCTACGGAATATTGCAGTTTTACAATGTTTGGGTACTTGTATTTGAACATTTTAACGAATTTGATCATCAAAATGCAAAACGCCTTCTTCAAATAATCAGAATGTATTCAATTCAAAGTCTGATTTCATCCTTGACAAAGTGCAAGTGAGGATTACACACATTGCTTGCTTTAATCTGTTCAATTTCATCATCAGAGTGATATTTGTTTTTGAGCCTGAGTGGAATTTCATTCTCCTCAATGTGCCCCCTCTTGCTCAGTTGTAGACTCCTTCTCTTCTGTTTCAAGTATAAAACGACTGTCGCCACAAGGAAACATGTGGATACCAGCATCATACCCAGGCCCACTAACAGTGTCAGCTGAGCAGATCTGGCGTCCCCCATCTCACAGACGGGGGCCTTTGAGGGGGTTTGATCCAAGTCAGATGTCCCTGTCCAGGTGGGCACCCTGTCTAAATTGCAGCGAGCTACGCTGTCATTGACCAGCAGATTAACCCAGATTGTGGTGTAAAGTGGAGCTGGTTTCCCCCCATCTCTGACCACAATGAACAGGTGATGCATCCCCAGGTCTTTCTCTAGAAGTTGCTGGGCCACAGTGATGTTCCCAGACCTTGAGTCCAGCCGAAAGGGGCTGCTTTTTTGCACCGACTCTGGTGCCACAACAGTGTAGGTAATGTCCGAATTCAGTCCAGAGTCCTCGTCGATGGCACATACCTTTGTTACTACCGTGCCTTCAATGGTTCCCGGAGAGACAGTTTGGCACGAGGAGTTGCTGCTGGGAAGGATCACTTTCGGCCTGTTGTCGTTGATGTCCTGCACAAAGATGGTCACCCTGGCAGTGGAGGTCAGAGCCAACGGACGCCCACGATCGCTGGCCAGCAGGTAGAGTTCGTAGCGATCGTCTGTCTCGCGGTCCAAACTCCCGGTGGTGCGCAGAGTCCCCTCAGGGTTATACACGACAAAAGGTCCTCTGCTGTTTACAACATGCAACTCCGTGTCCCCGTTCTCGCCTTCGTCTGCGTCCGTCACCCCGACCCTTCCCACCTCTGTGAACGGTGGTACATTCTCAGGGACAAAAAAGATGAAGTGAGGGGTTAGAAAAACAGGTGTATTGTCATTCTGGTCCAGAACACGAATGGAAACACTTGCCACAGACTCCAAGGGAGGCGAGCCGCTATCTTGTGCAAACACTGTGAGTTTGTACTCGCCCTGCTGTTCCTTATCCAGAACCGCTGACACAGACAGTTGACCGGTATCGGGGGCAATGTTAAAGACGGTAGACGCGAGTTTGTCCAGCCTGTAGGTCACCCTGCCGTTGTGTCCACTGTCTGCGTCTGACGCTGCGACCCTCAGCAGCGACATCCCTGGCTGGTTGTTTTCCTCCACCTCCAGCTGATGGCGAGACTGGAAGAATTGTGGCGCATTATCATTGACATCCGCCACCAACACCTTGATCATCTGTCTTGAAGATGTGATCACAGATCCTTCCGCTAATCTCCCCTGCGCTGCCACATAAATAAAATGTTCGCTTTTCGTCTCGTAGTCGAGGGGCTTTGATGTGGAAAGCAGATATTTGCCATTCTGTGGACTCAAAGTGAAAGGCCCCTCACTCTCGATAGCGAGAGACGAGCCTATAAAACCGCTGTCACCCTGGAGCTCTAAAACAGCTAAAACAGTGGGGGGCTGGTTCTCTTGTAACACCATAGTCTGGTTTTGATGATCTGCTATGAACCCGATCTTGATCGTCAGCTCTTGGTTCTCCTTGGGGACGATGGATACGGTTACCCGAGTGTCTGCTGGGGGGCAGTGGTGGCCGCTAGCTAACACGTTCAACTGCAGCACCTCGGAGTCGTCGTTCTGGAGGTCCTGTGCGAGTCTGATGTACCCAGTGAGGCTGTCGAGGCTAAAGAGCTTCTTGACCCGCTCTGAGACTTTGGAACTGAGGGAGTAGACTATGCCGGCATTCGGTGCCGAATCTCTGTCTGTGGCTCTGACCCGAGCAACCAGTGAGTTCTTCGTGGAGTCTCCTGGGATGGTGACATTGGGGGGGCTCTCTGTGCCAAAGCTTGGACAGTGGTCATTAACATCTGTCACTGTGACTATTAAAGTTGCCATGGCACTCAAAGGCTCTGAGCCACGGTCGGTGGCCACCAGTGCCATGAGATATGTGTCCCTGGTCTCCCTGTCCAGAGCTGTTTTCACGACCAGCATGATGACAGGCCCGTCGTCTTCCACTTTCAAACTGAAAACTCCATCAGAATCTTCTAGGCGGTAACGCAGCTCGCCGTTTTGTCCAGCATCCATGTCCTGAGCCTGGTCGTCTAGTAAGAAACTGGTCCCCACTCTTGTGTCCTCAGACACCCTGAGGTGTATTTCACTGTTCTCAAAATGAGGTGCATTGTCATTGATGTCCTCTATGATCACAGGAAACTGTACGAGGTCTCCTGAGGGCCCAATGACGGCAGTGTGTAAAATAATACATTCCTCAGCTTTTGTGTCCTTGGGGCAGAGGGCCTCACGATTCATCTTTTGCTCAGTGGTATAGAAATTCCCTGTGTTTTTGTCCAGCCACAAATACTCCTGGGTCAGGAGTTGGTAAGGAGGGGGAAAGTATTTGCTAAGTGAACCTGCAAGAAATCCGGGCTCCTTCTCCTCTGGGACAGAGAATCGGACCGAGCCACATATGACCTGCTGCAGATGGATCACAAGCAGAAGACTCTGATGAGAAGAGAGAAAAACTGTCAGCGTATTTCTTTGTTTTAAAAAGAAGATTTTTATTTTGGGTTATGTCTGCGGTTTATTTGATTTCTATTTTTGTTGCACTTCAAACTGTTAGAATATAGAAGTTTTCCATGGTGGTGATAAGGTTTAAACGTTACGCCTCAGTGAGCTCTTTTGAAAGCACGTAACTGTACAATGAAGGTAATCTGAACCCCCCCATCTATCTCCAGACAATTACTCTAACACACAAACAAAATGTATGAAAAGAAAAGCCAAATAAGAATTGCATATACCTTTTCACAAATATTTCAATATATTTGAATATACAAAGTTGCACAGAAGAATGTCAGTCCGGTTACACTCTTTCTCTCAATCGGAACCACTGACACAGTAAATAGACCCCATCAGGACGGAAAATCCTTGCATCGCTTTTGACTCACTGACCTGCAATAGTCCAGCCCAGTTCATATTATCCAATGGCCCATCGTCCTCACACATGTTACCCAAGACCCACCGGCAGTGAGTGAATGTCGAGGACGAAGGCAGCAACCTAAACCTGCACAGCTGAAGGCCTGATTCATTACACGCTCCTCCTACAACACTTACACAACCTGTCCGACTGACACGGGAGAAGTCAGAGCAACAACAGTTTTCCACACACACACACACACACACACACACACACACACACACACACACACACACACACACACACACACACACACACACACACACACACACACACACACACACACACACACGTTGTTCTCGAGAATGAAACAAAGAGCAAGCAGAAGGCTTTGTTTATGCACACATTTAAGAACTAGACTATATGCAGCAGGATTAATGTTCCATTAGCAAATGTGCTACGGCACCTGTTTGTATCAGCACACCTGCCTCCTCTTCACTTCATCATGGTTTCTGATTCAGCTTTTCTGTGTCAGATGGTTTTTGGTTCCCTTTTGTTACCAGAAGCCTCTATAGCAACAAAGCAAGCCTTTAAATAATACCAATTCAGTGTAAACAATGTTTATTTTTTTGCACTCACGTTGGAACATGGATGTATAGCATTAACATGCAAATACTCCAGTATCCTTTATTTGTCTATATTTAACATTATCTGAGGCAAGTCTGATTCCCTCTTTTTTTTGGGTTTAACAACCCTCTGTTCAAGCCATGGGCTGATTATAATGACCACAGGACCATTGGACAAGCAAATATTACACACGCGTACCCTCATAATAGGTTTGGTCGTACAATAGCAGAAGACAACCCAAAACCACAAGTCATTAGAGCCGAACCAAATAGATTGTAGTTATATTCAAAATGTGGGCATTTGTATTATTTATAAAAACATTGCGTCATTGTTTGTTACACACAAGAGGAGCAATCCAGCACACATATTTCCATCTAATTAAATATTTTGCTTGAGTCCCATTGGTTGGAGATTTTCTTTTTTGCCACACAAAAACACGGTGAAAAATGTGTTTGCACCAAACCCCCGTTATTCTTCCGGACGTCTTTTGAAGGCAAGTCAGAATATGATTTTATTAATGTGAGTGACAGCATGTTGAGGCTTCTCTGTGTCATCCTCAGTTCATTTCTGATCCTGGACTTTTGGGGGAAAAAAGACAGTTCTCCGTCTCCCGCAGTTGATGACAGAAAGTGAGAGTAACAGTGTCGGGAATCAGAATATGTATAATATGCTGTGTCACAATAAACATTCAAAAGATAAACATTTTTTTTTTATGTAATACAAATAATTAGCCACAGTCTGCCGATCATTTCGAGAATCGTGGGCAGATGGCCGGTCACAATGTCATTGATATAGGTAATTTACTGAGTGAACACAGCTGGAAACGGCAACAACTAAATGACAAGATTCTTGTATTAGAATCATTTTTGGTCTGTAATGTATTTTTTTGTGTCTCCATCCTCCAGACAATGCCGGAGGAGCAGCTGGAGAACCACAGGGAGGCTCATCAGAAGCACTTCAGTGGACTCAGAGACGAGATCTAAGACAAGCGGAGGATGCTGCAGGATCTCAGAGTAAGCAAAACATTGCCTCCTTACTTTTATCATAGAATTATTATAGTTAACCGTATGATTTAAGTATAAAATGCCATATTAAGATCAGAAAAATATAGAGCATGAAAGGAAATGATCATATCTACATACAGTATATGTGTGTAAAAATATCATATATATGTAGAATATTATATATCATAAAAATATTATGGTAGAACATCAAAAAGTATGCAATAAAATACATGTCAAATAACTGTCATATGCCATAGTAAAATAAAATAAAATACTGTATGTATATGTATAAAATCTCAGTGAGCAAGAACATTTTAATTAAAAAATATCATATTGTAGTCTACAATGAAAAACTTTATTAAAAGCAAAAATATAGTATAACACACAGATGTCAGATTAAATGTTTAAGGACAGGATGTCTTGTAACAATCATAGTATAGTATGCCATAAAAAATTAGATAATGGATATGAAAGATGAGAATGTATGCACTGTAAACCCGAATTAGTTGACTTTACTCGCGAATCGCGTGGAAACCCGTTGCCCTATCCCACTTTAGTTTTTACACAAGCTGAAGCTAGAAATGTTGCGTTGTATTAAGGTGGAACTGTAAGTTTTTACACAACCTGAAACTAAACATGTTGCGTTGTATTAACGTGGAACCTTAAGTTTTTACACAAGCTGAAACTAGAAATGTTGCGTTGTATTAACGTGGAACCTTAAGTTTTTATACAAATCACATTGAACAGTATCTCAGAGCTCTGGGGATTAGATTGACTCTGAATTGCCTGTAGGTGTGTGGATGTGAGTGTGGATGTTTGTATGTCAGCACTGCAATCCGATTGCGACCGATCCAGGGTGAACGCTGTTTCTGTTCCCGATGTTAGCTGGGATTGACTCCTGCCCCCCCCCTCAGCACCCCCCATGCAACCCCATGTGATGGATAAGCAGCTTTTAAGATGGATGGATGGATGGATAAAAGTGTTGAGTGACAAGGTATATATATTCATTGTAGTTATTCAGACTGTAAAAAGTAGAGAGATTAAAAACGTCTTTCTAGGCAAGTGGGTGAGTGTGTGTGCATGTCTTTGTGTTATTGTATAAAATACAGACCCTAAAGAAAAGTAGGATAGTCTACTCCGAGCATATTTGCGAACTTTGAAAATGTAACCCATACTTTGCTGTATAAGTTAGTGGTGGAGATGAATATTTTTAACCTCCCTCTGCGAAATAGCAATGATCTAAAAACTCTTAATATCTTTATGCAGTTAATTTAATAAAATATAAGGAAATAATTCATCTGAATCGATAGATTGTCTAACAACAATACAAGTTTGAACAGAGAATTGATCACAGTATTTTGTCCAACCCCTCCCCAAAATAGCTGTCCACCTCCTCTGTCTGCTGAAGCATCCTCAAGGCTGAGATCCCAGCTGAGTCCTGGTCTCCACGGTGGAGAACAGGATAATACTGCAGCAGTCAAAATAAAATACCTTTGTAATAATAACATTCAATATTTGGTGAGTTTGGATGGCCTGTGTGCATATGTTCAGATTTAAGCAATGCAAGTTATATCTAATAAGTACAATATAATACATTTCATACACACACACTATAATACACTGAGGCAAATGTAGTTCAGTCCATTTAGAGTCAAGTAAGTAGAGACACGTACAAGTCACCTCATCAAAATGTACAGTACGGCGCAGTAAATATACCCGTGACACTTTAAACGAGTGTGACATCTAGTATGAACACTGAACGAATGCTGTCATTTATGTAAACATTTTCTTCCTCAATTTAAATGAAAGGCAAAACCAAAACTCGATCGAAGTTACGTAGCGACTCGTCGGTCTCGTTTGCGATAGTTCTCCTTTTTAACTTTCCGCCCACTTTTTCCACAGAAAACCGCGGAAGTTTTTCTGCGACGTGATTGGTCAGCTGTGTCGGCTGGCTGAGCGTGTGTGTGTGTGTGTGTGCGTGTATTCGTGGCTTCATATAATAAGCAGCGCACTGACTGTTGTGCTGCTCGCTTGTTCCTTCCACTGCTCCAGCATGACCGCGCACGTGACCCCAGGTGAGTCTTATTTGGACCTTTGGTTTTAAAGTGATAGTGACCACGAAAAGACCCCAGTGTCATTCTTTATCAAGGCCTCAACAATATATTTTAACCTCTTCAAATAGCTTTTTTTTGTTGTAAAAATCTTGCGTAAAGTTGATACAAATGATGGTTTATGGAGAGTTTAAGTCCTTTAGCCCGCAATGTTTGCGTGTAGTCGTGTGCTGTTTGTTGATACATTCTGAACAGATCACAGGGTACATTGCATGTTTAAAAACCCCCACGTCTGGCTGTCTTCTTTCAGAACCTACCCAGACATTAACATTTTTTTAGTGTATGTACTGTCCTTCAGACATTTGCTACTCCTCTCGCCTTTTACCTGATAGGGAAAGCTGTTAAAGCTACAACACCATGTTGATAAAGTGCAGTCAAACAAAGGTGTGGCCATCCATTATTTAATGACATTTAAATAACGTTGTATTGTCGCCCAAAGCCTATAGTTGGATTTAAAATGTAATATTTATGTATCACAGTGAACAGACCAGCTGTTTTTCAGGCTGTTAGATGTTCATGTGCCTTGTGGGCTGTTTATCTGACAGACCTCAAATGCATTTAATTGTATTATAAGCCAGAATTTTATTTAGTATTTCTTTTACATTCATAAATATCCAAGAGCTTTTTTCACTTACAAGAATAGGTGTAAATGTTATATTTTGTGTACTTTTTTGCTTTTCTGAAAGAAACTGAAGACACTTTGAGAACATTTTCTTTCAGTGGAATAATGCTGTCACATTTTCCGCAGACTTGGAGCTGGAGCTGGGTGAGTTGCTGCAGGAGTTCCAGGATGTGGTGGAGGAGCTGAAGGCCCCGTTGCAAAGCAAACCTCATGCATACCACCACATGCTGCAGGAGGCCAAAACTCGCTCAGGGCGCGTGGACGACAGCGGAGTCGAGGACTCTGATTACAGTGAGCGTACATAATCATCACACTAAAACAATGTTACTGTGATCGGGATGGTAGTTTCTTACCTCACAAAGCTTGGGCAAGGAAGGACATTATTTAGTGAATCATATGCTCTAGAGTGAGGTTGTAGGGAGCTCCCAAGGGTGCACGTTGAGCCCCTTTATCAGCCCGAACAACTGCAGCTTGACACTTTTAATTTGCATGAAATTAGTGTTACAAGAGGACACATCACTGTACACTTCTATTAAAGTGGCTGTTTTGCTCATGAGAATAGCGGTGTACCAGAAGGAGCTGCAATTATGCATGACCAATCTTCTGTAATAGTCTGGAATTTATTTGTGTGTTGCTGCTGCTGTTGTGCGTTTTTTTTTTTCCAACGGTTATGAGATAAAAGAAAGAAAATGCGCATCTCTATTCCCATGTGCTGTCATTACTGGGAGCATTTTGGCCCCCTAACGTTTCAAAAGCTGACACATGGGAGTCTCTAATGGAGAACACGCGATTACCTTAATGTTACTGCACGTTATTATCATTAGGTGCAGCTCCTGTATTGTTTTATAGTTGTTGTCGTCGCCGTTGTTGTTGATGTTCATTTGCATGGCCTTAGTGCCTGTCTTCTGTTTATTATCTCTGCTCAACCTAACCCTTGCCTACCCCCCCCCCCCCCCCCTTAACCTCCTCCCCCATTACCCCCCAGGGAGAGAAGTTTTTTTTGGAAAACTTTATAAACACAGCGAAGAAAGACTTCTCCCACAGGGACCACGCTGGCACCGAAAGGTACTAGAGACGGCCATCGGCCCATCTCCATCCAGATAGCTTACATCTTACATCGATCACTATCACTGTGGCTCTGATCGCTATCACATCCGCGCAAAAACCCTTTACATTACGCCGGGAGCTCTTTTGTTTTTACACAACAAAGCACTTGCCGCTGCGACTGTGAATTCTCAGATCCCCTACCCCCCCCACCCAAAAAAAGAAAATCTCCAGCCCCAGCCCGCACTCATTCAGGGCTTATTTGTGCAGTTATGTAGCGATAAGGCTGTTTTATGTTTGTGTAAATGAATGAGAGCTGATGCGGATGCACAGAAAACTACCGTTAAATTTCAATGCATGAAAACCAGAATTCACTCTATATTTACCTATATTTTTTATTTATCACACTATATTTACCAGAGAGGGTTTCCCAGCTTTATCTCAGATTGAACAAAATAATCTGTAAATGTTTTTTTCATAGCGCTGTGATTTAGATTTGTTTTCAACTGTTGGTCCAAAAAAAATACCATTAAACTAAGACGTATTCTCCACAAAAATGTCTGCTTTTCTATAATTTCACAGATTCCTTTTCTTTTTGTCTTCTTTCTGCAGCCAAGCTGGGAGACACGAGGGAACTTGAGAGTTTTATCGACATGTTGGACCGGGAACTTGCAGGTGTGTATTAAATAGAATTACACCCCCTCCTGATCAGTCTTTTCTTTATTTCTTTAGCGATTTAGCTGACAAGCCAGCAGGCAGCAGTTTGTAATGGCAGCAGAGACCCAAATAGAGTGAATGTTTTGTTACACATTAAAAAGCAGAGTCCCTAGTAGCAGCCACCTTGTACTACTACCACAACCCTCCCATTTATCTCTGAGCACCTCTTGTGTGTAAATGCCATGTCTAGGGACTCAGGTGGACTATCTACACGACCTTTTGTGATAATGGCGTACTTGACTGCATGAGCACCACGATTCTGCTATCAGCACTAAAGCAGTGGTGTCTCTGAGGCCTGTGAACACATGCATGCTCCTATGCACAAACCACAAAGAAAAACACACAGCCGCTGCTATCAGAGGTCTTAGCACAGTGAAACAACGCTGCAAATGAACCCACTCCTGCACCTCTGTGCATGTTTTTGATCGTGTTATTCTGGCCCCTGAGCTTTATTTAGTTCTCTCTTTCCCTCTCTTTTGCAGAGATGTGAACACAAAGAGAAAGCAGGCCACGTAGAGGAGGGAGAAACAGGCCAGGGGCGACATGGATGGCTATTGCAGGGCAGACAGGCAGGTTCTACACCAGAGCAGATCTGACGGAGCAAATGCTCCCCTGGCTGCTGCAGGGGAAAGGTTAACACCAGAAATTAAAAGGGCACTCCGTACCAAAATGCAAGAACACCCTCAGACCCCTGGCGACGCTGCGTCCAGCCGGCAAGACTATGTCCCTGCAACGTCAAATCCGACATCTGTGACATATTCCATAAACCCGACGAAGCCTCCACCTGTCCACTTTTATGCCACTTTTAATTTGCTAAAATTCATGCACTTAAAAAATGTTGTTTTGATTTGATCCTAAAGGGTTCTGATCTGCTGTGTAAATCAGATTACGTTTCTGTGCCGTCATTTCCAGTGTATAGATTTTGTTAATATGTATTTTTTTAGAAATAAACATTTGATTGCGCATAAATAAAGTTACATTTTGATTTAATTTCATATAACTTTCTTTTTTTTGTTGTTGATATCGCCGATAAATTCTTGTTACAGCATGAGTGCGGAGAAACTGCCGACCTTGCTGTCCACATCTGCTCTTGACAGTTGTTACAACAAACAAGTTTTCTATGATTCTACATCTTCACTATCCACTGAATTGACTGTTGCCACTGTCACATGTCTCTGGGGCCTTTCGCCAATTCTCTGTATTTTGTACGCTTCCTGTTTGTTCTGATACATTTGTTGGTTTCACTTCTGCCTCCAAAGCAGGGAAACGCACGCCAAGTGAAAAGGGAAGTGCGTCGTTTGGGGGTTCAGAAACAATGCTTAATTTACTGCTTGACAGCTTAGAACAAAAGGAAGGAACTTGTTCTGCTTTGTTTAAGTTGCCTGTAACACATTTCTTGCTTGCTTGCATGTTTTCTTTTTCTTTTTTTAATAACCAGAGTCTCGTGCATTGACAGGTGTTTCCTCCCTGTTGTCAGAGCAACGCTGCTCAGAGACACGAACAAGACCGAGCGGAATGTAGTGGTTGTTGGTTAAATTTTCCCTGTGATTTTACATTGAGTAACTTGTGCTGCATAATTCAGCTGAAGTAAGGACAAATATTTTCAGTCTTCTAAAGAACTGCAACATTGCAATTCATGATGAGGAACTAAAATCAACAGTAACCAAGTATTGAGCAGATAACACACAAGACTCTGGGTTTTCAGGTCGTTGAGAGCCAAAGGCGTATTTCCCTGCTTGTAGCCTGCTATTGTTACTTGGAGCAGGCTTTAGTCTCAGCAGCTTCCTCGGTGCCTCCGCGCCAAACAGAGGTGTCATGCACCAGCAGTATATTCAATTGCCAAGGTTTTCTCCTTAAAACCCCAGGACAGCTGGTTGATACGGGCCATCATCGAAGGCCACCAGCTTCTGTGAAGCACTCTTCTTAGACTGCTCAGGTGGAGCTGCTTTTTGACTTCATATCAGTGGCAGCGGCCAGAGGAAGGAAGGCTGGACATTTAAGATACTGTCTCCTGTCCGTTTCCCCCTCATTAAAAGACACTCTGAAAGGAGCGTCCATCGCTCTGAATTTGGGCCAACTATTCAACCCTGGTGACTGGGACGAGAGCTGTCGCAGGTTTGGGGACAGAAGGGTAAAGTGCTGAAGGAAAAAGAGCTTAAAATTTGACGATACCGCGAAGCAACGAGGAATAATTGGAACACTGAGACCAAACAGGAAAATGAGAGCGTTCAAACAATGAGGGAATGCACAGGGGTGGCATAAAGTAACCTGCTTCTCCCGTGTTGTCGGTTCCACTTAGAGAGAGGCGAGGATGACTGATTGAGGCCACAGCTGTTCAGCGTGGTAACAAACAAAGTTTGCGTTGACACGATGGAACTTCCTCCACAAAGGAAGGCCCTTCCTGTTTGCAGTGAATGAGTGCGGCAAATGTGACGTAAGGATGAAAGTAAAAGACACTTTATTGGAATTCTCCCTTTGTGTTTTTCCCCTTTTGGTATTGTGACAGCGTGTATTAGATTGCAGTCACTCAACATTGCCGCCGCACGTCCCTGCTCTTATTGACACTCGTTTCGTGGAAGGTGAATACTCTGCAGGTTACGCTGTACGGATTTCACTGGATGGCCCGTGCACGTTCTTAAGCTAATTACCATGACAACGCTGTTTCATTGGCAGGGCTCCAACGTCAGAGGCCAATATGTCAGCCAGTCGCCTTGTTTAGATAACAAAGTGAATAATGAATGAACTGAGGTCATGAGCTGATAAATTGGAATAAATGAATGTTATGATGGGCTGGTAAACGGTCTTGAGAGTGGATGAAGTCACCCTATATATCATCTTACGCCCCTTTTGGCTCTTACCTACAGAATCTCGGTAATAAATGTCACATCAACTTAAAATCTTAACGCACAATGCTGCTTTGTTTTGAGCTAGTTAGCAGGCTAATGGAGATGTAATTGAGTATAGCAGAAAGGACACACTAGTTATTATCAGACACGGAGTAAATGAAGCAGAGATATGGACTGTTCAGTAAAGCTATCGTGGCGTTGATGAGTGCAGCATGCCGAGGACGCAGACTGATGAGAGCATGAAGCAACGGCTCCACAGACATCCCCAAATGGTCCAGGCTATAAAATTAGCTCGCTTTAGCACCCAAAACACACACACAGACACACACAACCAACAATACACACACTGAATTCAAATTCTATCTTTGACTAGACAACTGAGGCCAGATCAATGCTTTGTTATTCTTGCATAAACTCACAATAAGCAGAATTGGGGCTTGAAACATTAAATTACTTCCTGGAGTGAAATGGTATTTCTCATTTGATATTCAATGCCACGTGTCTTCCATTGATCGTGTTAGCCATAAATACTGTGAATCCATTCCTCGGTTATTTTGATTTCATGACATAATAGGGTAATAATTAGCTGACTCCAACATGCATGTATGGTTTCAGCCATGCTCGCATGTCGCCTGGATGACCGGTTGGTTGGTTCACTACTTTCTTTAGACAGTAATATAGCAGTCTTAGCAATGTTTGACCTGCTCAATTTGAGGCATATTTGTTTACTAATTATTATTGGATCGTAATGCTGTAAAGTGTTTTGCTTTTTTTTCGCAGTGTTCTAATAGAAACCTTTAAAGGATTAGGTGTGTAAATCATAAATTGAAATATATCAACAAGCCAACTGTAACCTCATTCAAGAGAACTTAATCACTACTGTTAATTTTAAAGTTCAATGGAAACATATTAATTGCTTTCATGTAAATTAAAGTCTTTACTCTATGTATTAGCCTATTGTTGGTAAAATGTAATTGACTGTTTGGGGTTCTTGTGCATCAGACTTTCTTGTATAAAAGTGGAACTGAGAATAACTACTTATAGAGCATTCGGCATTCACTGGACCTCAAACGAGCCATTACATCACTGCTGATGGAGACGCCACCCTTCCTCTTTCAACGCAGACAGACAATTCACTCAAAGTCGAGTCAGGCCAAGAGCTCAAATATTGTCTGCAACTACATTATTGGATAACGGAGTCTGAATTTGAAATAATTTAAGCTCTAGTTATGTATTGCACAATGGTGAGAATAGGGAGTAAAGCAACCTGTGAGAGATGCGAACGAGTGAATAGAAGGTACAGTGAACTTTAGCTAGTGAGCTGTCAGTCACACAAGGTCATCTCGGTGTATGCAACATGTTTTAAATATAATTGATCTAATAATAAAAGGGGGAATAGAAAGAAATGTGGCCTTTTTCTAAGATCCAAGGGTAAACATGAGCGTGGCCTTTGATACACTGACTGCGGAATTTCTTGTTTTTTAACTATGTGGAATGTTACTTTTGGTTGATAATTCCTTCTGTTGATTAGTTGTTATCTTTATACTACAACTATTAATACAAGTATTTTATATTGATTTTAGGAGGAGGCAGTTTCCAATTTGTATGTATAAACACACAAGGCAAACAGACCAGTGTGTTGAGATGTGATGAGCTTCAAATTAGATTCCCAGCAGCAAAACTTTTGCATTTTTCAAAATAAATTTGTAAGAAATGTCCTGAGGTTGGACATTCATTAAACTTTCTAATTAACTTTGAACAATATCTGTAGAAAAATGACCATGCAATCATCTATTCAATTCGTCAGCAAAAAGTGGAGAATTCACTCCCCAGGACCAACATTTAGGTGACGAATGAATGTCTCTGCCTCGAGGGGCAAAAATAGGATTAACTTCAAAGGATGTTTCCAGTAGTTTTCACATATAAAAAAGTCCCATTTCTTTAGAGAGTAAGCTCAGATATTGATATGAAACTCGCAGTATATTTGATCTGAAAGATCTGTGAAAAGCCTTGTAGCCTGGATTAGCACTTAAGATCAAATTGCTGCCCGTGAAAGTCATTGTGGATTGATCTAAGTGATAAGATACTTTTGGTTAAGTCCTCCGGGAGTCCCCTCTACTCCATTTCTATGGCACCAAAGGCTGGCAAGTTCATAGTCCAGTGACGCAACCTTCCCCTGCCACAAGTAAGCTACATCTGAGAAAGGCATTAGTGGACTGCCATCTGATGGAGAACCGCAGCTGATGCAACCAAGAGATAGCGGCTCGGGTCGGGAACGACTTTTCAAAATATCTCTGCGTCATGCGAGATAATTCTATGAATAATGAGAGCAGTCATTGAAGGAATGAAGCACTCTGCAAGTTATGAATCTTGGCGAGGGACTTCTTCACCCATCCCACTGGAAACTGGACTAACAGGTCTGAAGAATTAGTCGGCAAGCAGCACTTTGCGGGTAACAGGGTTTCCTGGACAGGAAACAATAGACACCGTTGTAGATGCTTAAAATGTGCTTGTTGTCTGCTGTTGTTACATCTCTCGCACGCACTTAGAGCGTGCAGGCTTTAGTCCCAGCAGCCTCAGCGGTATCTTCAGGCCATCCGTCTTACAGAGGGCAGATCATTATGTAGTCGACAGGCAGCTTTAGGCCAGTTGCAGGTGGGACTGCTTGTACTAGTTGAACTATGGGCTGCTGCTGTTCTTTTTAAGACCCCCATAAAAAAAAGCAGCCCCCTTAACTGTTAAATAGTACTCAACTCTGGAGCTTGTTTCTACTTACAACAGCGCTATATGGTTTGTTGCTCCCAAAGCTGCATTAAGGACCAAGTTGGTGTTACTAACAATTTTTTTTCCCAACACATGCCATTAAAAGACAAAAGCAGAGCAGTGCATGTATCATGCTAACAAGTGCTGTGTGTGGAGCCACAGCTTGTAGCTTGAGCCTCTGTGCCGCAGATCACCATTGGCCTCCAAAACCTATTAAACACATATAGAACTGTCACACCGCTGTGTGATGATGTAGTTTATTTTGACAAAACTCTGCAGCATGTTCTATGCACAGGAGCTACGTGTTGGGCGGACTGAGCATGCAACGGCTCTTTGCTTTGCTCAATGTTATTAAAGGATATGTCACCACATGCAGAAGTGTGGCTGTTTCTTCTGTTTGAGAAGGTTTTCGGACAATAACGAGCTCACTGGCACAGAGGCAAGCTCTACACCTCTGGCTGGGAAGTCAGTACTTGTTAGCAGGATAAATTCATTGTTGGTTCAGGTGTCGTAGTGAATTTGTTGAAAATAAAATAAAAATGCCAGCCTTATCCGTTATAACAAAAGCTATGTGATTACAAAGATGCTCTCTTGGATTACAAAACTCTCTCAACATCTTGTTGGATGAAAAATATACAAAAACACCATTATCAGCGCCAAACTTCCTGGTTTCAGGCCAAGCAAAATTGAATATCATGCTTTATATTCATGAAAACCACAATAAGATACAGAAATAATAGATATTTTATTTTTGATTACTCCAGTTTGCGAGATTATAAATACATTCTATGGACACAAACATAGAAGTAACAGGGAATCTTTAGGAATATGTACATTGACACTGAGATAACAGAGATTTATCAATGTATATTTTGACTCAAATATGTATTATAGGAAAAATGTAGTATTCGGGTTCGATGCCACCAAGAAAGATCCAGTATAGGGAGGCCCTTGTTAGGAAAACCAGAAAATATGTCAGCGATTTTTCGATGCTCTGTGGGTACAAAAGAAAATGAGTGTGTTTTTCACATGGAAATAATAGATTCTTGATGTTTTGACAGAAAATGGAATGATTGCCCTTTGGAGAAAAACAGACTATTTACATTTGAACTACAAGAGTTTTGGTTCCACTTGGTTTCCCATTAAGTAATCTTAATTAGCATCTTAGTCAGCAGAGAAACATTGTAACTCAACACAATTAGACTTTAAATGATTGGAAATGAGCAGTTCGTCCCCGTTACGGCACTCACAAAGCAGAATAAATAGAAAAAGGGCCCGTCGTGTGAGACAGAGGTAGACCTGCTCAGATTGCATTTTGTCTGAGGAAGGATAACAACACGTTTGCCGTGCTAGAATAAGATGCACACACACACACACACACACCTGTAGTGCTCTCCCAGCGGGTGGAACTGTGTAATTTGGCACATCCATTTCCTAGGCTGGGTTTCTCTTCCATGCTGTCGAGGCAGGAGGCAGTCTCAAACCCCATCGGGGTATTCCAGCCAATCCTTGAATTTCCAAAACACACTCACTGAACTGCAAATAAATCTTGACCGCGGAAAAGTGTCTTGCTCCGACTCTTCTTGTCATGTGCTGTTTGGTCTAATTTCATCCAGCCTCCAGGTTTGATTGCTAAAAGAGCTCGACCCCATTTTAAATCGCTCCACCACACCACTGCACTTTACATGGGCTCCCCCCCCCCACCCCCTTTGGTCTTGGTCCAGAGTCCAGATTCCCCGAGGCCACCAGGTCTACCCCTGCCAATACTCAGTGAAACCGGACTGCTTTGAGAGCATATGGGAAAATTACATGGCAAAAAAATAAGTTGCCCTCTCAGGACATTTCTTCCCTTTGATACTCAGCCACTCAATTTTAGCTCCGTGCCACAGTATGTGGGTGTGAGTCGGAGCCAATGGAAACTGACCTCCCACCACTGCAGATCCAAAGAGGGGACTGTTTTGATTGACATTCAAGGGTCGGGGTAGAGAAGAAAACAATATATAGAAAAGGGCCATTTCTCATTGCCTTTCCAAGCGGATGGACTTTATTTTTTCAATAAATAAGGAATCAATAACCATTTGAACGGCAGACCTCATAACATTGGCTTAAATGGCATACCATTTTTTTTTAACTAACCAAGTGATTCTTTTGGACACACAACCCTGAGGTGTTATCCTGTTTTTAGATGATAAAGTGAACTTGTTAGCAAACAGTTGCTTATTTGCACATCCAGCTGGTTGCCAATATTGTAAGTTTAATCGAATATTTCAATGTAGGGAGCGTCACAAACAAAATGATTTCATAGAGATACCAGGAGAAGTCTTAGTTAAGTCACAGTAATGACTTACCATGGTCAAAGTTTAACCAGAAAGTAGTAAGTTCGAATGCTCATGAAGTAATTTGGGTGAATCAAATATTTAAATTAGAAAGATTCAAATCTATTTTGCAGTCAGGGGCATTTTAATCAAAATGCCATCGACCACGTTTGTTCACATCATGCCAGCAAACGTCGCACAACTGACAAGTATCATTGTTTGCACAGGCTTCGCCCTACACGAGCGCACCCAGGCACATCGTCACATGTTTCTGTGTGTGGGAGGCAGCTGCAGGTACAAACTAGCTACTTAACTACTAAATTTCTTTCTTAACGGCTGATGCTCAGCTGAAACTGATTTAGGGGGGGGGGCATACACGAGCAAAAAGAGTTGACTTATACAGATCAGTCTCCAAGAAATGTCCCTCACATAATCATTTCTCTTTCTGCGAGTGGGAGATACATTGGTGGTGAGCTTACCAGACTAAACCTCGCTCTGCTGCATCTCCAATCAGTAAATACTACAGGAGTTGTTGTGAAATACTTGAGGTCTATGTTCATGAGCTATCTAAGAATTATAAACACTGATGTAGGATCACCAGTCAGGTCCCAATGCTGCACTGAAAACTGTCTGCTTTATAGCAGAATCAATAACTCCAGTTTTCTCCCCAAGAATAAAATATAATAAGATGCAAGATGAGTACATCAAGGCAATCTTTTCACAATCTCCCATTGCTGCAGCCCTACTTTGCATGAATTACAGTAAAATCTGGAGTTATGCGTGTTGATAGGCCCCAAGCCTGTTTTTCTCAAAGGTTTTGGCAAGTGAAGAGGAGTGAGGGAGGGGGAGGATGAGAGGAAGTCCTAGGGGGGTGACTTGCACTTGCTGCAAGAATGTTTCTTTTTAACTCATTCAAAATGAAAATAATAAAAAGTCCTAAAAGGGAGGAAAAGAACTTTGATCAAGAACAGAAAAAAGTTTTGTAAAACTTTATATTATTCATTTTTTACAGTTTTAATTTGGCACATGGCACAATCAGCATGTATGCATCTGGTATACATAAATAAATATTAAATATGTTATACATGAATATACATATAGGGCTCTTGCAAAGACACCTAGAAAAATCTTGGCTTAGAATGTTTCAAATGACAACAAGAATACATAGAATTTATTTGTGTTGGTGCTTTGCAGTCTGAACATTGTTTTTTTTGTGGGAGCCCTATACATATATGTATGTATGCCCATATTTATATATTATATTCAAAGAAATACAAGTGTGCACTGATGGAGGTTTATTCAGTGCAAACAGGCCACTGTCTGCTTTTGAAGAGAAACTCTTACAAATTCAATGGAATCATGTCAGTTAGTTCAGTTGAATCTTTAGCTATTTTTTTCTCTTACACGTAAAATTATATATTTATTTTATAACCTTTAAGGAAAATTAGACATATATAACTTTGAAAATAACCAAAGTGCTATTTCGCGAAAGACATACACCCAGAGACGCAGCAGAAACACTACTGGTGGCAAACAAAAATCAACGACATGAGAAAGTATTCGGACCCCTCCCAAAAAAACACACATTATACAGCCTACAAACAAAAAACAGGTGCAACCACAGTCGCGCGCACACACATACAATCTCTCACTCACACACGCAAACACACACACACACACACACTCACGCGTACAATCTCCCACTCATACACACACTCGCTTGCCACTGTGGCTTTTGCAAGTTGCGACAATGAGTCTCTTCCTTTATCTTGCCGTTTTAACCACGCTTGCGCGCAAGGAAGGAGAACTCATTTTCACATGCACGCAACCACACAGGTGGTCTAAGCAGCGTGTGTACGTGTGCACTCTCTGTGGAGATATCAGATAGCTTAACAGATAAATGGGCCGTAAAAGATGCACTTTTTTTCTTAACAAAACAATCACAGTAACATAGTATTTATCTCTGCCTTCTCATCTCCCGGCAAGAGCTGTCCCCGACAAATCATTTACGAGATAAAAAGAAGGATAACACCATTTGTGTGGCTGTCGTGTTGTTACGCAACAGAGAGAATAAAATGAGTTGCTCAAAATGTATTTAAAATCTCTACATCTGCATTTCCTCTTGGTTCCCGTCCTGGATTCAGTCTTTCTTCCTTGAGTCGTATCGGTTTCTAACGCACTCCACTTGGAATAGTCTCAGGGAATAGAAATAATGACAAAAAAGAACAAGCTTCGTAAGGCATCGAAACAGAAAACAAAGAAGCAATTAAAAACATTTGCGAATATTGACGTAGAGGCCATTGTTCAAGATGTGTCTCCCGCAGGAGGAAGGGATGGGAAATAAAAAGCACTTCTCTTTGTTTTTGTTATGAATTCGAGATAAGTGTTGATATCTCCTTTAGTCAGCTTAAAAAGGCTTTTAAAATGATTATTTTAGAAAAAAAACACTGCAGAAAGAGCCCCTCCCCTGATCAGGAGAAGGGAAGCAGTTTGATTTTGGCAGCTCTGCACAACTTGACATCCCTAGAGAGCTCTCAGCTACTCTCCTCGTAGTAAAAGTCTAGTTAAATCTCTTCACGTTTTAATCCGACTCGTGCCCTTCCCCCGCCCCTCCCCCTCTCTGTGATATTTATAAAACACAATCCTCCCCTCCGTTCGTTCGTCCTGTTTCTCCTCCTCCTCTTCCTCCTCCTCCTCCTCCACCACCACCACCACCCCCGCCCCACAGCTGCCTCCTCCTCCTCCTCCACCGCCTGTGCCGGCTGCCCGTGGCCTCCTTAAAGCTATACGCGGGTGGTTGAGTGGGAGTGCGGCAGGCCGGTGGAGTTGAAGCCGGTGGTGAAGGTGTTGTAGGGGTGCAGGTTGGGCATGCCCACCAGGGAATTGGGGATCATCGTGATGGTATTGGGCGTCATGAGGGGGATGTCGTCCGGAGAGCGCCGCAGGGTGAGCGTGTAGTCGGGCAGCGAGGCCAAGCGCAGTGCCCCCTCGTTGCTGTTCCCCGCCTCGCACTCATGGTGCGTCTGGTTCATCTGCAGCGACATGATCTCCTCCTCGGGCGCGTGGTGGCCAATGTCGTTGGAGGTGGTCTGGCGTTGCGGGCTGGGCTGCCCGTGACCGGAGTCCTGCCGCCGCTTGTCCTTCCGGTAGTAGAGGGCTGCGAAAGCCAGCACGTTGAGGAACAGCAGCGAGGCTCCCACAGCAATCGTGACGCTGAGCTCTGTGGAGTAATCCCGCTGGTTCTCCACCAGTAGCGGCCCCGTCTCCTCGTCGTCACCCCAGGAGTCCTTGTCCTCGCTGTTGTAGGCCGGGGACATGGGAGGCCGCTTGGTGTTGAACGGCCAAGTTTTCTTGGTGGACAAGGTGTTCTGGGTTGTCTCCGGCGGGGGCACTTTGGTGGTGGTGGAGGTGTAGTGGAACATGTCGTGGAGGTTGTACAGGTGGGGCACTAGGTGTTTCCAGAAGGCCACTTTGGTGGCGCGGTAGTGGTCCCGCACGCGTGGCTTCAGGCCGATATGCAGGTAGAGCTGGTCTTGGGGGTTGTACTTGGACCAGGCCACCTCCTCAAAGCGGTTGGCCTTGGTGTGGATGAACTTGGTGTCCTGTGGTACTGGCTTGTTGGGATCCCTACGGAAAGACAGTTGACAGATGTGATAAAGTGTTAAATGAGATTCTGACGGTACGTTTCATTATTATACAGTATATGAAGCGCAAGAAAGAAAAAAAAAAAACCCGAACAGTAATCCGTCAAAGCTTACATTTTGTCTCAGCCATCACTGGAAAATTCATCATGCTTGGACGGCAAAAGCACAGCAGCGACACGCTACGGGTACAGTGTTGATCGATCGTGGTTTGTGCGATACACTTTCTGCTTTCTGCATCAACAGACGCTGATTTCATTTTTTTCCACCGATCCACTTTTTTTTTGTCTTTGTGAGGGCATTATGTGTCTCAATGTCTGTCTCATCCTCCCCCATCCCTCTCACCCCAGATGTTGTTCTAAATTCAGTTCTGATGAAGCCCAGCCACAAAAAAAAACAGGGCAGAGGCTTTTAAAGTAAACACATATGAATAAGTCAGCAGGCTTTAGGGCTCGCGTCAGGAGGCATCTTGTTGTTGATAATCCAACGCTGGTGGAGCCCCTCTGCTAATTGCTTAGGGAAGGCACAGTGTGCATTGGCATCCCGTGTACTGATGTAAAGTGGACCATATTAATCAAGACACTAAGAGGGAACTGCAGAGGATTGCGTGTGCGCTGCCATAAAAGGATTTTTGTGTGTGTGCGGGACTCGAAGCGGCAAAAGGGATGCGTGAGAGCGGGTGAGTATGAGTGAGAGAGCGAGAGAAAGCACGGGAGGATTTTTACGGATGCAGTACTGCTTTTGATCCACAGGGTTCACTGTTCAACTTTTCAGTTCTTTTGACACGTTTTGGCTTCAACACCGGATGGCCAACCATTTCAATTACAGCGAAGCTATTGATTTATTGAATGAATTAACATATAGCAGTGGCCCTCAATCACACAACTCCATGTTGCCTTGCAATGTCAGGAGTGGGAGTTCTGCGGCTCATTGGTTTAGCTTTTTGTACTGATGAAATTACTTTCTGTGAAAGAACAGAAAGAATAGCGCTGCGGCCTTGAAAACACCAAAAATTGATTTTGAAACGGAGGAGTTAAAACTATATTGTTGGAAGGAGTCAAGGATCTGAGCTATATTTCTCTAAATGTCATGCAATATCCCTTCGTGGGTCTGATTGCAATGTCAATGGAAAGCAAAGTTCAAATTCAGTTCGGGGTCTAGGGATATGGCGCCTACAGTGTTTTTTTGGCACCGGCTAAAAAAAAATCCAAACACAGCCAAGAGAATTAAAAGCCATGCCAGAAGAATTCTTCCCGCATCCTCTCTCCTGTTCGTTCCTCTGCTATCATTTCATTTTTTCTTTTCAGGTCAATGCTTCAGGGGAAGGTGGGAGAGAGGGAGATAGAGGAGAGAGCGAGAGAGATGAAGAGAGAAAGAGAGAGGGAGAGAAAAAGGTAAAACAAATTGAGATGGCTTGAGCTGAATCCCTGGACCCGGGCCGGTGTCAGCGGAGCAGCCCGTAAATAACCCCTTTTATTAGGCCCATAATGATCCCCAATGAATATTGACAGCCAGGCTATGATGACTTTGTCGCTGAATATCAGTAATTAAGTTTCAAAGGAGTGGGTGGTGGAGGTAAGGTCATATCGATCTCCCCGTGTGCAACATGCCAGAGAACAGGACGTCAATGGAGCAGCCTGAGACGTGGTTGTCTGCATCCTGCGTGCTTCATGAGTTTTCACAGCAGTCTTGTGCATCCTGTCACACACACACACACAATTACACACACACACACGCACACAAAGGCAAATGCTGTCCCCCTTTCTTCCGCTCCTTCTCACACACGTATACATTCACAGGCACGACAACAATGATGGGGGATCAGAGCAATTTCAGTTAATGGGAATTTTCAGGCATTTCCATAACACTGCAGAGGCTCTCCGTCCAGGAGGGTCTATTTGCCCAATTGTTACAGCAAAAACATTGAAAAGGTAAATGGATGAATCTCACAAAACAACAATCAGTGTGTGAAGAGCGCAAAGAAGCGGTGGTGTGGAGGAGTAAGAAACGCTCTTTGGTGTCTGGCTGGTTCACTGCAAGTAAAGATGAATAATTTAGGGAACACAAAGAAATCAATGTGGCATCTTTAGTTAATTTGATTTGCTGCATTAGAGAACAACTGGCTGCCTTATCTAATTACACACACATATGCTCGGGTAATTGTTGCAAAGTCAATAGTAAACAGGCCACATTCCTTTGAACAATTTCTACCACCGCAGCTCAACTCTGGGCTGCATGCTGGTTTTAAAGTCCTGCTGTGAGCTGCAGGGTGGAGAGATTGATATGAGCCTGGTCTCTTCTGCTCAGTGTGGTGAGGGGTACTAGTTTACCCTGCTGCAGTTATACTGAGCCTAACCGGGCCATATGGGATGTAGTCAGATCTACTTTAAAATGGTTCCTAAATGCACGATACTGAATATGTAAAAATGTTGATGTAACCTTCTTCTTGTCTTTCCATGCATATGTGGACGAAAAGGACATGAAACATTTGATAGATTAAGATCAAAACAACAGCAGAGCACAAAAACTTTGTTTGCAACAATTACAATATCACACATACAATTTGTGTAACACCCAAACTGTGCAGAGTGGCTGAAAATATCTATCCATCCATCCCTCTATCCATCCATCTATCTATCAATCTATCCATCCATCCATCTATCCATCTATCCCTCCATCCATCCATCCACCTATCCCTCTATCCATCATCTATCTATCTATCTATCTATCTATCTATCTATCTATCTATCTATCTATCTATCTATCTATCTATCTATCTATCCATCCATCCATTCCTCTATCCATCCATCCATCCACCTATCCCTCTATCTATCTATCCATATATCCATCCATCTATCAATCCATCCCTCTATCCATCCATCCATCCATCCATCTATCCACCTATCCCTCTATCTATCTATCTATCTATCTATCTATCTATCTATCTATCTATCTATCTATCTATCTATCTATCTATCTATCTATCTATCTATCTATCTATCTATCTATCTATCTATCTATCTATCAATCCATCCATCCATCCCTCTATCCATCCATCTATCTATCAATCCATCCATCCATCCCTCTATCTATCCATCCATCTATCTATCAATCCATCCATCCATCCCTCTATCCATCCATCTATCTATCTATCAATCCATCCATCCATTCATCTATCCATCCATCTATCTATCAATCCATCCATCCATCCATCCATGCATCTATCTCAATCTGTACAGTAAACTCCAATATTGTGTGAACAGCAACATTTTATTTAACCTCTGTACTCTTATTAAAACAATGTACTGCCTATAATATCTGTAATATATCCGTTAATAACTGCTGAATAATCAGACATACAGAAATAGATTGAAATATGCCCGCCAGAGAAACATGGCGATAAGATATCAACAGTCTGCTGCTCTTGATGGGTTGAAGACTTTTAGTGGTCTTTGCAGTGTAAAGAGTTTTTGTTCAAGATGAAAACACTTAGGCCTATTCAGGATTTTCATAGATTGCAAGCTGAAGAGGAATGTCAAGGGTAAAACTAAAAGTTTGATGGCAATGATAAGCCACAAATTACATCTGCCAATCAAACCTCCTGGTAGTAATTTCACGTTGGAAGATTTCAACCAGGACAAAATGGTGAACACTGCGTTGCTGTCAAAGAAATCGCTGTATGAGTTCAGCTCTTTGGGCAAATGCCTCGCTGTGACTCGTGTGAACGTATGCGTGATGTTCGGGGTCCTGTTGGGCTCTTAGAGCTCTGCTGCATTAGCTGATAGCCTGCTTCCCGTCAGACCTCCCACTTAATCTGGATGGTCATTGGAGCTATGGCTGGACTCCCAGGCAGAGCAGAGGGATTATTACACCCATAAAATCAGGCGTTTTAATGGCCTTTCAGATTTCCTCTGAAGTGTTCACAAGGCTGCGGCACTATAAACCATCGCTAGCCTCTCCTCCTCAGTTGTCATGACCTGCTGACCCCCGCTAACCTTGGCCTGCCATGTTTAAGTGCTTTCATGTGTTTGTATGAATAGGTAGTTTGTTTGTGTGCTCTCCATCTCCTGTCTGTCGGCGTGTGTACCTGTGTGTGTGTGTGTGTGTGTCTATGTATGTTTGGGTGTGTATTTTTGACGCATCATGGTTTGGTGACATCCGGGGGCCACACACAAGCGACGCACTTGAACATGAGACGTGTCGCATTTCACACAACCGTGCATGACGTGCAGTGACGAGAACGAGCCTCTCCAGGCTGATGTGAGAGAAAAAAAAGAATTCTGTAAGCGTTAAACAGCTGCTCGGTAAGATGCTGCGGCACCTGGATGAAGGACACGTCTCCCAGCTCTACCCACACGAAGAGATGGGGCATGAGCTCATTACCTATTCTAAGCCCCATCTTCACGCGCTGATGTAAAAGGTAGATATGGGGGGGGAAGAATGAATATCATTTTCTTTCTTTTTTCTTCTCCCATGTACCTCCTTCGCCTTCTCGTCCTGATGTAATTTGAAGCGCTTGAATGATCATAGACCTAGCCATCACCAAATCTGAACAGACACGTTTAGGTGCCCAAAGGCAAAAGACAAGAATCTATTTTCACTACGCTCAGGGTCTCTGAATTTAGAGCTGAGTATAACTACCGATATAAAACAAGGAAAATGCATGAATCCAGGGGCTCTGATGCTTATTTTGCGTGGCGCTAAACAATTGTTGTTGTACTATTGTGAATCCACTTCATCCTGTGACGTTTGCTCATCTACTTACCAGGTGATACATTAAGCGGCTAATTGTCATTTTAAACTCCAACAGAAAGGTTCCCAACCTCGCTGCGTTCTGTGTACATTTTTTATAAATAGACTCATTCTAATAGTCGTTTGTAGACTTGGTCTCTGCGTAGGGGGCAACTTCAGCACTGAGCGGGCAAATTATCAGCCTGCGCTCTTTTACCCTTCATGTGGTCGCATGCTGGGGCAGAGGGCTGAGTGATGCTTGGTTCATATTTAATGGCAGCCTCCCGATCAGCGGGCTAAGTGATGCAGGGCGAGGCGCTGTGACTTTGGGGCGTGCGGATGTGTTGGAGGACACAGCTCTCGGGCCACTCCTTATTATGGATGCTTATTGATTTGTTTGATTAGACGAGTGACAGCAACCAAAACACCTCCCTCACCTTCCTCGTGGCCCCATTCTCCGTCTGTAAACCAATTAGCAGCTTTCCATGTCCATCTTCTAATGTTTTCAGCATTTCACTTACATTTAGTATGTATCCCTATTTTAATTAGGGAACAACATACACATGCAGACCTACTTCCCTTTCTCTTCTTCCCCTGCCGTCCTCCTCTCATTACATTCAGCACACAGCATGGACACCGATCAATGGCGACCAGGCCCCTTAACAAGCCACACCACTTCCTTACTTTCTCTAATGCAAATCAGGATATTGGCTACAAATCTCCTATCAAGTGAGTGGCTATTTAATGGAGTAGCTAGTTGGCTTTGCTGTTCCACAATGCCGAGCATCCACGGACTCTTGGTACAGGTTGAGTTGGTCCTAACGAAGGAAGCTGAAAAAAACAATGGATAATGACAGGACAAGCGGGGGTGGGGGAGGGGTGGGGGGGGGGGGGGGGCAAGGAAAAATTACCCCACTACCAAACAGCTGGAGTGGAAAGGGAAAAAGGTTTGAAGGAGTGCGTGAATTAGGTAAAACGGGTGCCTTGTTAAAAGGTTATAAATCAAAGCACTGGCTGTTTAACTGCAGCACTGACACACTGTAGTTACTTCTTTCTGCATTTGTTTGGTCGACAGCCATTGTTACTAAAGACAAAGCAATCAATACTGCGTATTTTAGCTCATGTTGTATGTGTAAAACATGAGCCGACTTTCTTTTTAGTGTCTAGATTAATGAAAGCGAGGGGGGTGGAGGAGAATGCGGGACAGATATTCATCGCATGACAGCGCTCTGCTCTTTAAGTAGCTCGCGTTGCGCAGCATGCGGCGTAGCTCGCACACAGAACAGGGGAAATGAGCACCTGCCAGCAGGAAAAAAGCAAGTGGTGGGAAGATGGACCCACGTATTTACAGCACTAATGATACACGATGATTGATCTTCTCTGGGGCTTTCATCCCTTCGCGACTCTCCTGAAGGGTTCTGCCACTGTCTTTGTGTGTAGTCGCGCTGCTGCGCTTGCGTTTGTGTTCGAGAAGGTGGGGAAGTCGCGCACTCGCCGCCAAACTTTGGGGGAAACTGTTCAGAGGGATTTGTTGTGGCAGTTAAAGCAGTCCATTTTTTTCCCTGTCAATAGTAAAACAAATGTTACAGCCAGAAAAATAACTCTTGAGCTGAGTTAATCCCCGGCTTCTGAAACATCCTGAACTCTCATAGTGTGAACACACACTCTCACAATCGCACTCACTCACACACACACACACGCACACACACACACACACACACACACACACACACACACACACACACACACACACACACACACACACACACACACACACACACACACTCACACACACACACACACTAAGAAGATTTGACAGCATGCACTCTCTGTATGCTTTTATGCCTCACAGACACTGATGGAGAAAAAAAAATAAAAGGCATGGGCCGGGATTTGCCCTGTAAAGATGACACATGAGAGCCAGGGACAGGAAGAGCTTTGGGGGCAACGCTGCTATGATATACACCGTTGACATGCGGTGCGAGTGTCTCAACATCATGTCACGCATGTTTCTACAGCCGATTTAGAGAGGCGGCAGGAAGTGCAATCTGGGTCAGTTGATTATGAAAGGGGGGCGAGAGCTGCTTCACAGATACAGGGGACGATGGTTGTTGGATGGTCCGCGAAGGCAAGAGAATTCAACTGTGTCTTAATCAAAAGGATGTCCTCTTGAGCCAGACTGGGTGCTGGGTGGTGCTGGGGAGGGGTCTGCATCCCCTAGTGTGTTCTAAATGAGGAGGATGAACTTCAGGATCCATGTGAAATATCTCCCATCCTCGACCCACTACCCCTGAGGTGTTGATGGTAGTCTTTTACTCGGACTGGCTGGAAAATTACCCTTTGGAACAGCATGGCAGCGTTTTCTATTATCCCGGAATCTAATCCTAGAGCCTTTATCACCCGGGTGCCTAATTGTGGTCTGCATGTAATCCCCCAGTCTGGAATTATGTCGGTGGACGCTGTACGCTTCATATGGTGTGGGCTCGAGCCACGTCACTGTCCCGCAACGCTGCTTCTGTTGTCTCACTAAAGTAGGATACAGCCACACCACTACGTTTAAAACCACATACAGATAAAATTACAGTAGGTAGACACCTGCATTCGCCACCTGATTGGGTCTTAACCGTCACTACTTGTCCTTCCTCCAATTCATCAAACATGTCACATGACCCCTTTCCGCCAGAAAGCTAAGAACAACAGCCGTGATTATCGTTCAAATACTAGTTGTTAAGTAAAAATGGATAACGGCTTTCAGACATTGCTGACCTTGTTGTCTATCCTAGCAGATGTTGGGCTGTTCAATTCAGCATTTTTATAATTCTGCTAGCGCTGATAAGCGGACGAAGCAGGAGGTTATCGGTTTTGAGGGCAGTGTGTTCATCGCTGTTATCAGCCCTGGGGGAGGGTGGGGGTTCGAAGTCAGGGTTTGGAGCTTTGAGGAGGACGACAGACACAATTTGAGAACTTTCCATTTCTCAATAATGCTTTTTTTGTTGTTACTGTACGGTCCGAAGAGAAACTGTAAAGGAACACAAATGTAAATGCTCTCCAGTGCGACTCGAGCAGAGCTACCAGTGTGGAACCGAACAGACGAAACGAGAGAATTGTGTCGACCAAATTAATTGATTTATTTATTTGACTATATTTATGTGTGTTTAACAGAAAGATAAAGCAAAGACCTTGTAACTAGGTTTGAAAACGTTTAAACACAATTTGTGTGTCATAATAGAGGAAGATTTTACCGTAGGTTCTAAGTTTAATAATTGAAGGTTCTAAGAACAATTGTATATTATTAAGGAGCACTGTAATACTGTGTCGTCTTTCCTAATACGAATCTTTAATACATCTGTGTTATATTTTTTCAGGCGTTATGTTATCTGTTATCTTATTTTAACATCATATAATATTCTTGAAAGGACATGTAATAAATTCCATCTGCGCACAAACTACAGCCCTGCATTTGACAGAAGATGGTTCCCTGGGAGGCAGAGGAGACAGCTGTTTAGTCCCAACATCACTGATGGACCTCAGTGTTTTCCTTGAGGAGCCCACATCAGTCCATCTGCACTAGTCTGCCATTAGCGGTTCAAGGAACTAGCAGAGCCGGCGGCACGGCGCTCAGCCTATCAGACAGATGTAGATGCCACCTGATTGGACAGCAGATGATATAGAGACAGATAAAAAAAGATTTCAGGCCATTTCCCATTCGGGATGGGATCGATACCTCTTTGGTAACAGGGAATGTCAAATTAAATTTCCGTTGTTTGAAATGATTACTAGTGGTCGTACAAAATGGCCAGGCTTTTTGATGGGTGGGGGTGAAATCCAGCATCGTGGGGAGCGGGACTCACTCAGGGCACGAAATATCGTGTGGGTCCATGCTGAGGGAATCGATAGCGCTGAGGGCAAGAGTTTGATATGTCTCCCTGATAAGTCTCTGTGTCTTTTGAGCCTTGATGTAATAGAGCGTGGATAGTATTTCCAGCCAAGTACACACACAAGCACACACATGCACACAGAAGGATACAGAAAGGCAGGCAGCCGTGCACACATGCTCAACTCAAACGAGCAGTCAAGCACAAATAGCACACACTCTGGAGGATCATTTCATCTTCCTGAGATTCAATATGTCTCGGATTTTTAGAATAGGGCAGAGGAAGTCAAGGCAAAAAGCATTCCTGAAAAAAATATAAGTTGAAAAATGCCTTTTGTGTGCTACACTATCCATTGTAGACCTTTGGATTTCCTGCAGCTTCTTTTCTGGAGAACATTCGTCCTTTTAACAGGGCCGAGACAGAATTTCTCTCTGTAGCTTTCTATTTATAAAAAGTTTGTAATGGTGTGATCATTAGTTCAACTAATTTGCAAGTAATGTTGTTAAAAATAATTTAAAAGTCAAATAATAATATGTCTGAATATGTTTTGCTACAACTATTATTAGACACAAGTTTAAAAATAACAAAAATGTTTCATCCAATTGATTCCAGATTACTCTTTTCATGGTAATGCAATGTTCCTTTAACAGCCAGTAGGACTGTCAGTATTTGAATGTCATTCAATCATTGAAACCTTTAAGTTGGACTAGCGTCATATTACTTTTTACTGACATCAGCTAATGACAATGGTTATTTGCATAGCGGACCTCCATCATTGTTGTGTTAATGCGGACAGTAAAGCAGACAAGAGTGTGTTAAATTCATTTGAGTGTAACTTGGCCACCACTAGGCCTTATTGAATTAATATATACCGATTAGGTTGTTGACCTTAAAGGTAATCCCACCCGAAGTGAAGGTGAGTCATTGGCTTCAAGCATTTATTCACGGACAATTAACCAGTGCACAATGCGCTGCTACGGTCGGACTATGACATTAATGACACTCACGCCCACACAAATGTTTTCCCTCTTTCTCTGCCTGCCACACACTCGCTAATATTATGCTACTAACCCGGCTGCATTGATCCGGACCGATGGCTTGTTGGAACCGGCCATCAATCTCACAATTGTCTCTTCCTCCTGATGACTATTAAAAGTATACCATGATCACATTAACCATGAATAAAAGACACACGGGTGTGTCTACTTAGAAATTTGAATCCTATCCAAAATGAAAGAGGGTTACAAATGATTGAAGCACCAATAAGTACCGATACAGACACAGATAAGCAGTGTCGTTCTCAACACCAGTTGGGATTACTGATGAAAGAAATAACTCACCCAGTCTTGGCAAAGTTGGTCCAGTAGGTCATGACCACCGCACTGAGCATGACGTCATTCTTGGAGAAGTTACAGGGGAAAAGGTCAGTCGGACCGATCATAGGAATCCCGAAAACATAGGGCACCTCGTCCCCGTGCGCGGCGTCTGACCAGGCTGGTTTCATCAGGCTCTGGCAGTGGTGGTAAAAGGCGTAGAAGTAGGTCGGCGAGCCGTAGCGAGCGTGGAGATCCGCCGTCACCACCGAAGGCTCCACCCACTGGTGGTCGGTGAACAGAGCCACCAGTGTCTTGCGCCGGGTCTCTGGATTGTCCCTGTCTGCCCAGTCGGTGTACATGAACTTAATGGTCTCCCTCAACGTGTCCTTGCCCTCCGGGTATCCGTACAGGCTGTCCACAAAGTCCGAGACGGAGAAGTCAAAGTCATTCCCAGACACGCCGTCCTCCGAGTCCACCACGTTCTCCACGAACCGCAGCCCTTCGCCCTGGTTGACCCCCAGCATGATGTCGTAGTTGAGGAACTCGCCCTGCTCCATCAGGATCTCGGGGTCGTCAGGGATCACGTCCCCATCGATCACCGGTCCAAAGGCTACGTGATACCGGGCCGGTTGTATGTCCTGCTCCACTAGCTCCCTGGAGCTCTTCTTCCTCAGACAGTCCACCATGTCTAAGGTGTCCAGGACATTACAGCCGACCTTCTCTGCCAGTAGACGTGTATACTTGACCGGCTGGTAGTTTACCGCCCAGCTGGAGAGGGCCGACCCGCTCTGGATGATGGCTCTGTGGAACAGACCTGCACAAGGACACAGCAAGAAGAGACAGATGACGTTCAGTGTGTCAGCTCTACGGAATATGATTCAGTTGTGTGCTATACTACACGGTTGATAATTGTGTTGCTGCTATTATCAAACGGGGGTCTGTCACAGTCTACACAGCTGAAAAGAATATCAGAGGCCAGACAGAACAAGTCCTTGTTGCCACATAGAACAATAATGGAATCATGGCTGTGATAATGAATGTGCAGATGGTCTGGTCTCTCTGACAGCCTGAGACAGAGAGGGAAATCAGTACGCTGTCTGTCATCTTCCCTTTATCCATCCATCTCTATATTCTCTCTCAATATTAATGTTTGTAAGGAGCAGATGCAGCCAATATGGCTTGATTGGTTTTGTTTCACATATTAGAGGATGGACCATACCGTACAAACAACACTTTGCATGTATGAAATGCAGTAAGAGTCCAATTTAAGTGTTCTCTGACATAAACCCTGCACGCATCCCTTCCCCTCCTTCCCCCTGTTAATATACTTATCAAGGTAGCTTGAATTGGATGAACCTCAAACACTGCAATTATAGACCCAAATGCTCCTTTTTGCAGTCGTAACGTACACATCAGTTATACCTTGCACAAGTTAAAAATATTTGTTACCTGGAAGATCATTAAATTCTACAGTTTGTGGGTGGATTTGCTATAAATAAACCACTCCTACTCCCCACATATGCAGAGGGAATGGAGCTGCACACATTCATCTGCCAATACAATGCAACATGGCGGCACGCGATGTCAGAAGCTAAACCGAACACCACAGTTTAGTGCTTCTGATATACAGATAGAGACTTACGCTACGAGTCAAAAGACAATGTATTATGCAAAGCTACATGTTTGGAGCTTGGTGTTTGTGCGTGAGTGGGCTTTAAAAAGGGAGCAGAGGGGGTTCAAAGACGAGGGCGAACAAATCTGCTAATCACATTTAATTACATTTTCGTCGCAGTGCAGTATAAAGGAAATCTTCAATGACTTTTCACCACAAGGAACAGATCGTAAACAACAAATATCATTTCCTCAGGAATAATTGAATTGCTTCCCTTTAAAAAAAAAAATCCCCCTTCCTCCTTAGAGGAAAGGTGACATGGCATCCTTTCCGTCTCTGGACCTTCCCCCGCATCGTTGGCGATGCCTCGCAGTCTTCGTTTGACAGCACCACTCATCCGTCCTCCTCGTTGGGTTTTCAAAATCCCGAATGCTGTTTTACCAATCTCAAAGAAAATCAGAGGCCACTTCACATGGCTGCTTTATCGCGGAAGTCACGGCTTTCCACTGAACCCATGATATCGAAAGCCACGGCAGATGAAATACTCCAATAAATGGCACCAATAAAATAAAATCAATGGAAGATCACACATGCAAACCACAAAGACTAACAGAGAAATATATACAGGCAGGCGGACTCAGTTTGTGGTTTTTCATTGTCAGTGTGGGTGGCTGTGTTGAAGTCTTTGTGTTTATGAGGTAAACAACAGACTTAAGTGCCAGATATATCACTTTGGTATTCTTAATCAGAGGCGGCGGGGGGCTTATTTCTTCTTGGCAAAGATGAAGCACTTATTTACAGAGCTATTTACATTTATTTGTTTGCAAGTAGTAAGTAGAATTAATGTGTCTGGGTGAATGAACTGTGAGATGTTTCTGTGGTGAGTGTTTACCGGTAGCAGCCACAACGTGTGTATTCGAACAATGATCTTCTTTGTTTGAATGCGGCAGATGTTTCACCGCACATACGCGTTTTTGAATTAACCGCAATGAAATAAATGTATGTTTCTGCATCATTCTACGCGGAAGAGCCCGTCGGCTCTACGTGGCCTTGCCAGGTGGCTGACCTTCGAGATGTCCTGTCATAATGCGTCTGTGCAGGACGGTGGCTGGTGCCTTCTCCCGGCGAGCGGAAGCAGATGTCGAGGGTTTCACCCACTTGAAAGCATTAGAGGAGCAGCCGCAAGATGAAAGATGGCCGCTCGGAGGCAGAAAGGGGGGGCTTGGGCTTAATCCTGCAATCCCTCCCCTCTCCTCCTCCTCTCCCCTCCCCTCCCCTCCCCTCGCTCTTTAGTGGTATTGCCTCTCTTCACATCTCAACTCAAGATTGCGCTGTGCAAACAGGGCCAGTCATGCTGGAGGGAATCGGTCCAGAATCCCAATGCCGACGGACAGACACTTTCTAAATGTCGTTGATAGCGGTCTGATATAGTTGCTAGAGGAAAACGTTTGCCAGCCGAGCAGCTTGTGTGACTGGCAAGGCAAGTTTGACAGACATACAGTCGAATATATCAAATCTGTTGGCCAGCAGGAGGGCGGCTTGAGTACAACTGAGCTCAGGTCCGGTGACTGCCTAAACCCAAAGATGGCCGCCTGCTGAGGAGGCTGCAGCCAGGTCAACGAGTTAAGGTCCATTTCCCCGCCTTGGTTGATTAAAGGGAAGATGAGTGACTCAGGCCATATTATTGTTTGTCGAGAAACATATAAATCTAGCGCACAAGAGCTGTCACCCGACTGATAAAATATGCATTAGAGCTGTGTGTGATGAGCCCCACTGTGGTGGGAAGTTAATGAGGGAAGGTCAGGGAGAGAGGAGACCAGAGCACAGGCTCTCTCACCAACTGAGGGAATCCACTAATTACCCACACTGGGAGGTGTGCATGTGTGTCTGTGTGAGCGCATACTCCCGCTGGCGTGGATTGATAAGTCACAGAGATGATGAACGGACAAACAAACAGCAGGCATCATCATAATAAGGGGTTAACCGTTTGTGACATTGCTTTGTCTTCAGCATCTGCTCACATTCCCGAAGATGTTACACGAAGGCCATGACACAACATGTGCATCGCGTTCATATCTTGCATGTTTCACTCTATAAAAGCAACAGATAGCCCCCTGTCATTATCTGCTTGCGTTTGACATGTGAGAATCCGACATCCAAACTGCGAGCCGATCCATCAAACCACAGTGTTGCTGGCAGATTGAGGTCACGCTGAATTATGACTGGCGCTCCGAGGTAATCACTCATTGGATCCCCGCTAAAACGCCGTCAAGTCGCTCCGCGGCCGCCTCTGCGCTGCGGTTTGCCGACCTCGACCGCGCTGCCCCCTCACTAGACACCCGTTAAATGGGCACGCGGTTCAGGCCCTGGATTGGCTGAGTAGCCCGCGGAGGTAATTCACAACAGATAGAAGTAAAAAAAAAAAAAGCTTGACCTTGAGGGTATGATGACAACCGTGTAGTCAGACACAATCCCCCGTCTCACACAGGCAAGCTCAGACAAAAGTTTAGGCCATGTTTTGACAACTGCAATATGGATGAAAGTAACGGACAACGGAAAACTACGGGCATGAGTGTGCAGGCCGTGGTAATGGACAAGGATATTCTGTTGGTGATCATGCCAGTGAGCACCGTAAATGACGATACTTTGTAATCTGGAACAGCTGGAAAAAAATCACTGAAGCATCAGCAGTGAGTTTTATCAGTCTGGCCCGGATACAAATGTGACTGTAAGAAGTAGGCTGCAAAAAACCCACCAGAACAATGTGAACCAAAACGGAACCACTCAACAAAGACGCCTAGCGGATGACCTTGAGACTTTGGCTTAGTGTAATTCGATAGGTCAGTGATTCATTTTCTTACAGTAACAGCAAGCCACATGACTTCAGAAGGTGATATGGTAGAAAATATGTAAAGCGGCAAAATCTTCGGAATACTTTTCATACGGATAAAGCCATCACGAGAGAGAAATAACATGGCCACGGGGACATGTTCCCCCCCCACACCCCCTCTGTCACAACTCCTAGATCTTGTACATGCTTTTTTCCTTGCCTTTAAATCCTTCCTCTGCTCTGTTTTTCCGTCTCTCTCCATCTCAGCCTTTTTCTGAGGAACCACGCTGAGTCCCTCCCTGCTGATTATCAGACATAAGCTCGCGTTCAGCAGAGCCTGAATCCTCCGAGCAATCTTACCTCCAGCATCACTTCACTGTAAGCAAATCTCCACGGACTCGCGGACTGCGCAGAGCTCCCTCTGTTACAAACATTTCTCTCCGTCTATAGTCAAACTAGGCTGGCACTCAGTTGGACACACTCAAGTGTTATTTTTTTCTTAATTTCGCTCCTTCTCTGTTATTTTCTCGCTCCTGCTGTGTTTTATCCCCTTCTTTCTTTCTTTAACTGTCCTTCATGAATCTACAGTGTTTTTTATTAACTAAATGATAAATATATCTATGAAGTATTTTATTCCCAGCTGAAATACTTAAAGCCAACTGGGAGATGCACACTTTTTGCCTAATTATACAGTACGTCCTTGGCCACTTGCAGTCTTATAGCACAGAGTTAAAGCTGCTGTCTCCATGGCTACAGTCTACAGTACAACAGGCTGCATCCACTTAAACACAAGTGCCTCTGGTGTGATCATGCATTAGTCCGTGGATAATTTCACATTGGTCTGGCAGAACTGAAACAACACCTACATTGTCTGTCAGAAAAAATTCTGCACAATGTCGAACCCGTCGACTTCAAAACCAACAGAGGCGGTGATGTAATCATGAAAAGGCCAATGATTTGCTTTCTGAGACAGTAGTGCCTTTGAATACACTTGCTGGATTCCCTCGGGCTGCAGGGATATACTCTGAGTTAAAATACAAAGGAATCCAGGCAGTGTGCGTGAGCTTTAATCCGAGCAGCTCTGTTATTACATTAAAAATTAAAAAGGACATAAAAAGGCACAAATAGGACTCACTATTTAAAATTCATTGTGTGCGAGTTTTGTTTTGTTTCCTTTTCATGACTGTTATTGTTACCTGGCAGCCCATGTTTCCCGTGAACCAGATCTCCACTGGACTCATTTCATAACAAATGGTCACAAACGATAGCTGCCAGAGGAAAAGCGTCTTCATCCCACAAACATGATTGTTTGCATGGATTAGAGCACAAAAGCAAACTAGCGCCTAATTCTTACAAAAAGTACACCTTCCAT